TTTGGCACATTGGACGGCAGTGCCATGAGGTCAAAAGTAAAACCTGAATCTGTGCCGAGCTCTGTTTGAAGGAAGAGCCACAGTGACTGGCTGAGCCGTGAATCCGATCTGGAAAGTTCTCTTGATGGAGTATCGGCCGGATTTCTGTGCGACGGCACCCATTCGAGCCTCAAGTCAAAGTTGGCCTCCACCGTAAGCGCAAAAATCAGCCTCAGAACCTTGTTAAGAGCCGATGACCTCGATCGCAAGTTCGTCCATGTGTGGTATAGGCCTTTGGAATCAACCTGGACATCAACCCGTCTATCCCAGAGGACATCTATCACTGAGAGCAGAACAAAATACAAGGCAAGGGCCTCCTTACAGCCTATATCGGCCCTCCTCTGAATTTCAGGTGACCAGTAGTCTCCAAAAGAGACACTTCCCTCTTCGAGCGCCAATATCCCTCCCCATTTGTAGCCTGATGCATCTGAACTTAGCTGCACCCTCAAGTGACGCTCACGCCTCCATGGAATCGGTTCTGACAATGAGTCAACAAAGCGCCAAAACAGTACTTCGTCTCTTACTGGCTGCGATAATGGCATCGCGTTTGTGTCATCTAAACTGGACATGAACTGACAACACTCCCGCGTGAATAGTGAAACTGCCGGGAAAACTAATCTAAAGCTCTGACTCTTCCCCACAAAACGTTGCAAGGTCTTCAAAAGTACTGCGTCTGCGGATAGAATCTCCTCCCTCACTGTAGCAAAGGACAGCTTCTTTTTGTCCGGAATCCAAAAGGATAACGTCTGCGAGCATATCCCCAATCCCAGATGGACCATACTGGACACAGGCTGCAGCTGACTCTTCTTTAAATTCACAAAATATCCCAACTGTGATTGCATGTAACAAACCACATACAGTGCCCGAGATGCCCTCCTGAATGCTGCTTCCGCCTGGTTACCATCAGAATTCTGCAATTAAGCAAAGGGTAAGCCTAAGCCAAACCAATATTACCGTTACCAGATTCCCCTATGAAGCGGTCGTCAATCCAAATTTCAGTGTGTATTCCTCTATTTTTCAGCCATGTCGAGAAACAAAACCCAATCGAAGAATATATGTATGCACTATTTTTGAAACCAAACGGGAGCGTTGTGTCGACAAAATACCAGCCTGCCCACTCAAAACCGCAAAACGTCTTGGACCTCTCAGTTAGCAAAACTTGCTTGTATCCTTGGGCGTCGTCTGTACCGGAGAAAAAACCTCCCTTATTCACCGACTTCACGATTTCCCCCAAAGGGGCTAAACTAAACGGCGTGTCCTTGCACCATAGATTGGGCCCCTTCATTGACAACACCAACCTGGGTTTTGTGGGTTCCACCGATAAAGCGTTGACACATCTGGGGGAATCACCTCGTGCACTGGCCCCAACAACTCCACCGAGCCCTCCCTGAGACGCTTTGTGATAGTATCATTAATGAAAGACACAAAATCCCTGCATACCGGGGCATTTGCAAAGTACATGGGAGAAGGAATGCTTGAATTGAAATACCTGCCCCGATAGTTTCCTTCAAAGGGTTGAAAAAACTCAAATAAGTCTACACCCTCACGCAGCCACCTCCCTACCATGCGACCATTTTCAGAACTCTCCTGCAGAATTCTCTCCCAAGCGCCTAGGTTTTCATGTAACCCCCCCGCAACAAAACTATTAGGGTCCCGAAAACGCAGTGACTGGAAATTTGGAGGGCAGACTCCGGCTAGCACGTCCGCGGGGCATGGGGCACTACCATCGGGAGCACTGGCCGAGTTTCCGGATATGTCGACCCATGAATACACACCCCGCTTTCGCCTTTCAGCATACGCAGAGATAGGATCAAATGCGTGCTGCTGCACTTTTTCCCACCCATGAGTCCTGAGAATATGCAGGTATCGTTTGTAGTCCTACATTGGACAAGAAAGAGAAGAAAGAAAAAAAGGAAACAAAAAGAGAATGGAACCTTATTTTGCCCGTTCTTTTGCTGTAGAGTCATTCCACCTTTATTCAATACTCTCAACTCTCCATCCATTTCATCTGAAAGGTCATACTTCCTTTCTTTTACAATACAATGCCATTATTTATTTCCATGTCCACCTTTTCCCTAAGGTGTTACATGCAACATACTTCTTTATTCAATACTCTATTCTCAAAGTTAATTAATATGCCTCCAAAATATAGCACTTTTTTTTTTTTCTTTTTTTTTTTTCCCCCTTAAATCATCAATTCAATTGTACACTATGCTCCCAAAGCATAACTCCCTTTGTTCCACACCTTTAGTGATTTCCTTGTTCGCTATACATCACATCATTAAATCAATGTTCAAATCTGTCATTCCTCTGAAGTATCACATTGCCTGATAAATAAATTTACCTTTCATTGCGTTTTTGCCCTGCTTTATAACCGACTCGATTTTACTAATCGTAATCGCCTCTCCCTATGGCGAATAACCAAACCAGTTAATGTTTGAAACTGCCTATTTTATGTTTATATACCCATCCGTCCACATTTCGTTTATATACATTAAGGGAAAGTCGCACCCCGATTTGCATCCCCTAAGTTACAACAATACTTCTCTGCATTCTCGCGCAAAGTGCCCCTTCTTACGGCACCTGAAACACGTGGAATTTCCATCGGGCCTAGGGCCCGGCCTAGAACCAAAGGCTTGCCGCTGCTGCCTGAAACCCCGCCTACTATCCCCACCGAAAGATTGCCGGTCTCTGTCCCACTGCGCTGACGCGCGGCCCCTGATGGCCGGCGTACCCCCACTCACATGCTTTCGCGCAAAACGGAGTCGTTTGTCTGAATCCTCGCCCGTAATCGATTTATAGATATACATTGCTACCCCATCCCTTTTTTCATCTACATATTTAGTGGCTTCCGTAAGCAGATTAGTGTATAGTTGTTGTTCCTTTACATCCTCCGCTGAGATGGGTGAGAATTCCTTGACATATCTCCGCAAGAGTGACATGACGTATGCCACATTCCTATCATACCCAGTTTCCGTGCAGGCCTTCAACAGTTCAAGGCGCAAGGGCTTGTAGGCTTCGAGTGCCGATCTCGCCTGTATTTGAACGGGATTTGGAGACAAATAGATATAACAATGCCACATAAAGCCAATTATTGTTGATAAATTAGGCAAAGTCAAACCCCGCCGGATTTTTTTTTTTTTTTTTTTTTTTTTTTTTTTTTTATTTATTTATTTATTTATTTTTTTTTATTTTTTTTTTTTTATTTTTTTACCGTCCCCTGAATTTACATTGCCTTGGAAAACTGTCTCACGATTTTAACAAAGACACGAGGGGCTCGCCCCCAGATTCTACTATACGAGTACACTTTATACCTGCCTAGCTCATACACAAGGGGCCTGTCCCCTAACTGTACCATGTTACTTGTACATGAGTAATCGCGCCTGATACCCGAGGGGCCCGTCCCCAGACTCTACTAGTACACTTATAACTGCGTATAGCTCACCCACGATCGAGGGGCCCGTCCCCTGACTGTACCGTGTTACTTGTACATGAGTAATCGCGCCTGATACCCGAGGGGCCCGTCCCCAGACTCCACTATACTAGTACACTTATAACTGCGTATAGCTCACCCACTATCGAGGGGCCCGTCCCCTGACTGTACTGCGCGCTACTTGTACATGAGTAATCGCGCCTGATACCCGAGGGGCCCGTCCCCAGACTCCACTATACTAGTACACTTATAACTGCATATAGCTCACCCACGATCGAGGGGCCTGTCCCCTGACTGTACCATGTTACTTGTACATGAGTAATCGCGCCTGATACCCGAGGGGCCCGTCCCCAGACTCCACTATACTAGTACACTTATAACTGCATATAGCTCACCCACGATCGAGGGGCCCGTCCCCTGACTGTACCGTGTTACTTGTACATGAACAATTGTCCTGATACCCGAGGGGCCCGTCCCCTGACTCCATTATACGAGTACACTTATAACTGCATATATAGTTCACACACGAGGGGCCCGTCCCCTGACCGCACCTTGTTACTTGTACATGACACACGAGGGGCCCATCCCCTGACTGTAACATACGCGAACATTATTTTTGCCCTTAAACACGAGGGGCCTATGCATCCCCTGACGGTAACATACGTATATATATATTGTCCCTATAAATGCACGAGGGGCCCGTCCTTTGACTGTAACCTACTCGAACATGAATTGTACCTGACGCAAGAGGGGTCCCTCCCCTGACCGTAACATACGCCTACGTGAATTGTATCTGACACACGAGGGGCCCGTCCCCTGACCGCATGCAACATATGCGTACATAAATTGTACCTGACTCACGAGGGGGCCGACCCCCCACCACAATATACATGGACACAATTTCATCCGAGGTGCCCCAATATTGTACCTAATACACCAGGAACCCGTCCTCTGCTTGCACTAGTCTTTACGCCTATGAATAATTTGTACCCAATACCGGAGGACCTAACCCCCAACCGTATACCCGTGGTTTGCACCTAAACCGCGGGGGCCGGTTCCCTGCCTATGCCTTACGTAACATAAAATTGCACTATACCCGAGTGGCCGGTCCCGGCCGAAAATGAACCATTACGTATAATACTAATACGTACCGAGGGGCCTGTGCCGTGAACGTACATTAGGCGTACATGAGTTATTGCACCTAATAACTAAGTAGCTTGTGAGTTAACCCTGAATATACATTAGGTATATACACATGAAATATTGTGCCTATACGACGCAGGGGTCTGTCCCCTGATTGAAGGTCTTATACGCGCACATAATAAACATGCGTCACTACGTGAGGGGCCTGTCCCCTGATTATCTCTTGTGAGTGGGCCGTGATCCCTCCCTGCATACATTCTTGGGGCCTATCCCCTGAAATACCGGAGCCTTAAGGCAAGGGAGGGGGAGGACCTACCCCCTGACGTACCTAACGCGAGGGCCCCTTCCCCAGGACTGTGCACCTTATTGTGGTTGTTTTTTTTTTTTTTTTTTTTTAAACAACCCTAATTACCTGGGGGGCGTGGCCGATGTTGATGCCACGACAGGAGCCGTTCCGCTGGGGCCTGGACCGTCTGAGCTCAACGCCTTGCCAACCGCGTCTGTTGACCCCTTGTCCTGCTGCACTTGGCCGTCAGGTCCCTCCACTCGCTTCTTCTTTGGAACCGGCTGGTCTAAGGGCCCCGCCTCTACTCGGTCCAGCATTTTTTCTAGATTCCTCTTCTGCCCACCATTAGGCGCCAAAGCCAACACATGGCTCCGCCAGTTCTTGTCCAAATCGTGCAGTTGATGGACATCATCCCAACCATCTTCCACCAGCACTTGAAAACACCGCTTGGAGATCTTAAAAGTCTCGCATAGCCCTCGAAAACTAGCACTCACGGGCTCGTCCGTGTCACCGTACGCCTGGACGTTATCCTGTAAAATAATTGTTTCAAAGCAAATGATTATCGTGCTCCTAGAGAGATGTAGGTGGAAAATATCCTCTTTTTCCCGTAATGTTCCAAAAGAGCTACGGTAACTGAGGCTAGCGGCGCTTAGCCTTTACAACAAATTTTAATGCATGATTCTCGGACGTCGGTGCCATATCCCTCCCCGAATAATCTTAATAGCTTCTATATTTAAATAGATAGGACATGTTGTATAGAAAAACCAACTAACCTCTACAATTTCGTACACGTCAGCCATGATAAATCCGGATCCAAGCCTGATGCGTATTCCAAGGCGTCGTCAAACTGTAATTTACTATCCCGCACTCTATCAACGAAAAACCGTGCGCTCCAGGTCCTCAGTAAGGACGCGCAGCCAACCGTACTCGTTACGCAACGAGGGTAAGACCAAACCCAATTTACATACGAAGACCGCGTTCGCACGACCAAATTTGCATATGAAGAACCAGCAGTTGTACCGTAATTTACTAATTTACATGACCATAGGGCCGTCGTCTCATAACACTTTACACATTCTTTACCTTCCTTTCTGCCATTGCTAACATGGCTTTTGCTAGAATAAAATGGATACCAACGCTCTTTTCCGATAACCATGTGTAAAATTTCCTACCAGGAACAAATACCGACAAGGAGTATATTTCCTATAAAGCTCTATTTTATTCTAATTCGCCTCCAACCTTTCCAAAAGGGAGGAATATCTTCCCACCACGTATGAAGCGGTCAATATAGATAAATATCATACCTTCTTTGATCCCGTGTTTATTTAACAAAAGGATACAAACACCCTCTGAATCCGTGTTTCTTAAACCTCCCGCCCTTCCTACAAAGGATGCCTGGAAACCAAATCTCCGGCATGACCAAGTCATCGGGAGCGATGATACCCGTATCCATTCCTCGGGAGACCGATCGCAAGGGCTCCCGGTTCCTGGCCGGCAGAGTCGCGACTGATGTAGAATCATCAGTCGCCCTCTTCGGCCAAGGCAATGCCAATAGTAATACCATCAAATCTCAAGGCGGATGCTAAACATCTATTCCGACAAAGCCTTAGCTCAGTGAATACTAAGTAAGATTTGAGGCTTTGCATGGTGAAGATACTAAATAATATTCGCACATGGTGTTTCCGCAAACCTTTCATTATTCAGTGAATACTGTATCACTCAAAATAACACGATATACTGAATCTTCATCTAAGTACAAAATTGGCTGTCATATCTCGTGACACAATCCCGAAATCAGCATTTGGGACATAATTCTCATTCAGTAGATTGTAGCTAGGTGATGCGGTGATCACGGATTCGCCCATATACAAACTAACTACAAACGGAAATTTCCAAAAATGTGTCACTTGACACATCTATACAGGACTTTACAAATCACCTTGTTATACAGATACCTTGAATTAACAGTATTGAAAAACAAAGGAAAACCCAAAAAAACCAAAGACTTGGGACCTAAAATTGTGCTTGTTATAAGCATAACGTTGTATTAACAGTGTTCTTCTTATCAGGGTTCGACTGTAACACAAATACACTTCAAAACTCTTGTACTTCAATTATAATTGTTTCTGAACCATTTGTAGTACGACAGATAAGTAATGGGCTTGTGCCTTTGAAGATACAAGCATGGAATTCGGCACACAGTCAGAGGATGTCATGAGAACGATATTTGGCTACGGGCCATCGCAAATTGGTCCTTTGAAAAAAATATAGGTGGAATAACATGTAATGGCAGCCATTTCGTAAAATTTGGAAATTGTTTGTTATTCTTCCTAGATTTGTTCAAAGGACAAATCTGTTACAGCCAGTTATCTTTCTTAAGACATACTCTGACTACGTGGCAAATTCCATACTTGTACAGGTATCATCAAAGGCACAATTCCCCAAATATGTCCTCTATCTGCCTCACTATTGTACTATTCCTGGTATACTTTATGGATCTCACTATCTTTAGTGTAAATTGTTGTCTTTTCACCGCTCACGGTAGCGGGCACGGCACAGGTCCAACAAAAGAAGTAATCCACTGGCTACCATGGCGGCGCTATAGACGAAGAAGGTCCCGCGGAAGCTCTTTGTGACTTCATAGAGCAAGCCTGGACAGAATGGAAATAAAAGGTAAACGCACGTTTGTCTTTTTATGAGCAGAGAATATATTGAATTAGTTCACTTCTGGTGCACTCTTCTGCAATGTACGTCTTCGGAGGCTTTTTTCTGCAACCAAGCATAGCTAATGACCAAAATGCACATGCGTCAGTACCTCACCGAAAAGTTATCTGACTTTATGGAAGTTTAATTAAAATACTCATTTAAAAGTAAGACTTGCTGAAGTGCGATTAAAAGACGAAAATTTGTATTTTTTGTGGAGAATTGAGATCACACGGTTTGGAACTTACGGTGCTCGCTACATATACATGTACATGGTGTTTCATTTAAAAAAATGTTTATTTCTCGAATATGACAAAGTATTTAGGAAAATGGTAACCACCATCTTTTACATAACCATGTCTTCTTTTTCTTGACACCACGAACTCCATTTACCGTCACGGATGACTGGGCAACTGACAGTTGTCAGAGAGAGAGAGACGTTATCAGGAATGCGTTCACAGCAATGAGAACCAGGGCAGAGATTTGCGTTGAAAGGAGTGGGGGCATGTTTAAGGACAGTGGGGTTAACGGGGACAGTGATAAACCTTGATATGTTTTAGCAATTGAATAAATTACTTTGATAATGTACGTCCTGGATTTTGTTACTTTCAACATGCTGAAAACTGTCAATTGGTCTTATGGTGCACGTGATACAAGGCCATTTTTGGCATGTCAGTTACATCACTTGGTGCTCAGTCATCCGTGACGGTAAAATGGAGTTCGTGGTGTCAAGAAAAAGAAGACATGCTTATGTAACAGATGGTGGTTACCATTTCCTAAATAATTAGTCATACCGGAGGTTCAACAAAATAAGCTCGGTTTCCTTTTTTTTGAACACCCTGTTTATAGTCAGGTGATCAATTATTTCAATCACGTGACATGTATCACGCATGCGTATTATGTTATGTGACTACTTTAAATGGTAGAAGAAAAAAGTTGCTAGACGGAGTGCATAATGGGCTGATAAAAGCCGAGTCCGTGTGCAAAGAAAAAGGTTTTTGGCGCAGTTCGCAGCTGACTATCTATCTTAAAAAAGGAGACGCGGCATCAGAAAGCATTGTGGGAAGGTCACTTTCCATACAGTGCACGCACCATGTTGTCAAGTAAGTCATCACCGACCTGAAATAGAGCGATAATTGGGACTAATGATGGCGCACGGGTATTGTTTTTGTTCCAATAATTACACTGCGAAAAATTTCCTCTGAATTGTGACCTCTTGGTGGCGCCCTACATTGTGAATCGCTGATGGTAAGTAATCGGTAAAACAAAGTTGTATACCCACCTGACAGAGTGTCACCAACGGAAGTTGCCAAGCCGCCCAGGAAGCCCAACCAACCCAAGACGATGACGAACTTATCGTCGGTAAAAGGCAGATATCTCGTCAGCACCATTACCACTTGAATAACAGCAGCTATACCAGCTGCTATTATGAACGTATTGACCATCTGCCCTGCAAAGGAAGGAATGAAAGGGTCCAAGGCAAAACCCACAGCAGTAACAGCAACTGCGACCATCGCAGCAACATGGCACGAAGCCAACTTTATTTTCAAAACTAAAAGCACAAGAGCAGGACCAGCAAAACAACCAATACCGAATGCCGTGCTCAGGAAAGAAGCCTGGGTGTTCGTAAGGCCTACAGCCAGACCGTTGGGTACCATATACACTAAGATCCCGCCCAGTGAAATGCTGTAGAACATCTTTATGGCTGCCAAGAGCACAAAGTCACAGCTTGTGAAAACTTCGATACCAGTGGCTGAGACGATAGATTCGATCCACTTCATCCAAGGCTCAGGCCCTCGGACACTTTGCTCTGAGGTCTGGTCCTTGGTTTCTTTTCCGTTCATCTTGCCCTCGCTTTGCTTCGTGATCTGGTCCTCACTTTGCTTCGAGAGCTGGTATTTGCTGTCTTTCAAGATCTGGTCCTCGCTTTGCTGCGAGATTTGGTCCTCCCTTTGCTTCAAGATTTGGTCCTCGATTTGCTTTGAGATCTGGTCCTTGCTTTCTTTCAAAATGTGTTCTTCCCTTTCCTTTGAGATCTGGTCCTCGCTTTCCTTCAAGAATTGGTCTTCGCTTTGCTTTGAGATCTGGTCTTCGCTTTGCTTTGAGATCTGGTCCTCGCTTTGCTTTGAGATTTGGTCCTCGCTTTCCTCCCAGGTGTGGTCCTCGCTTTGCTCCAAGATCTCGTTCTCGGTTGACAGATCTTGACTAGGGATAGTTGCGTATATCCCAGGAGGTCTTCTAACCAAGAAACCAGCGCAGGTCAGATGAAAACCGAAGCCACCAAGTATGAGCATTGCACCTCGCCAGCCGTAGGTGTCCAAAAGGACCTGTGTGGCTGGTCCATACAGCAAAAAGCCAATTGGAGCCCCGAGGAGAGACACAAAGATGGCCAAGTCGTACTTCTCGTGGAAGTACAGGGCAAACTCTGCACGCACTATCTCCAAAGTACATGCTGCGCCCGAACCTGTCAGGAAGAAACAAAGGAACTTTCTCGATACAGGGACAAACATGTAATTTATGTTATACATACAATGAACATGTACATCTCTGTATTGACTCGGTCATTCATAGTCCGGCGAAAGGATACCTAGGTATCAAGTAGGTATTGTATTAATCAAGACTAAAAAGACAGTGGGGTCTAAGCAGTCGTGTGTTTTTTCTGATTGGTGGATCTCTGAATGTGCAGAAAGGTCAAATTGGACAACAAAACACTCTCTTTAAAAATCCAAGTTGCAAAGGAATTTGCCCGCAATTCCGAGTGGAATCATTGTTTATTACTTACATAGGTTGCATTTTAAACACTCCACAAAGTACTCATAGCATTTCATGCAATTGACTATGCTTTCCAAAGTTCACTCACCCGCAATTACTGTAAGAGTTATAGCTAAATAGGCAATGTGGTGAGTTAACGACGACAGAACCACGCCAAGTCCAAAGAGTAGGCCGCCACAAGAGATCACAAAGCGCCCTCCAACTTTCCGCGCTATACCCGAGGCCAAAGGAGCTGTGAAGACAACAAAATACATTTCATTGACATCAGGAAAACTGTAAAGAGTCGAAATTCACAATTAATTGCCAATTAATAAACCATATACTTTAATTTGTGTTATAGTTGCGTTCAATATCAACCAACCTAGTGTTCTCTTCAAATCGTCATACACAAACATACATTCAAAATCAATAACGTGACTGTATACACAGCTTAGAATTTACAGCCTACAAGTAGGATTGACTGGCTGTGACTGGTTATGTAACTTGATACAGCTTTGCTTTGACTATGGTAATTGATAAGCCAGCTGGGCCCACATCTTGCCGGCTTTCTGTTCATCCTCTGTTGATTGAGTTTATCTAGTCACAGTGCTTGCTTGACATATGATCTGACTGCTGGAGACCAGCCTGTGTAAAAGTATAGCAGGGGGAGTGGATGGAAATGCTGATCGTCTCTGACTGTCTAAATAGCAGGAGGGATAACTGTACGTGACTGACTGACTGACTGACTCCCCGAGTGGAACGTGTGAATCAGACTGGTTACATATTGCCTTGACTGACTGTCACCTGTCAATGAGGCTGTTTACCTATCTCACTGACTAATAATAATAATAATATCGGAGTCTTATATAGCGCACGTGCCAACTGCAACTATTAGGTACTCAAGGCGCTGGAGATATATGTCTATTACTAAAGAAAGGTAAATACAGTTTATGAGAAATATGAGAACCATTATGTAGCACCTTAAATTGGGTTTACAAGGTGCTGCGGCGCATATTGCAGCCACTGCCAGAAACACCGGGGCAAACCCCTTCTCTTAGCGACGTTCTTTGACGTGAATTACACAACACACGGCACCTATGGCTCTACGTCCCATCCGAAGGACGAAGCAATAATGGTAAAGTGCCTTGCTCAAGAGCACAAGCACCATGTTCCCACGGTCAGGATTCAAACCCATGTACCACGGCGCACGAGTCGATCACCGCAACCACTGGACCACAGCACCCCACCAGCTGACTGATTGTCACTTGTGACTTTTTTTGTCTGGCATCATCTTTACGATGATTGCCTATTTATGTATGTCTTGTATCTACACCACGTATAGGCTCTTCATTAGTCTGGCGCCGCTTGTTTCATGTACTTACATGGTATACGTTTCAATTGTCAAGAAGTCAGGTCTCCATCCGAATGGCGAAAGTGGATTTCTCATTTCACTCACGTTACCACTATAACAGATTATACGAACATTTTAGCCATTCTGAATCAATTGAGTACGTTTTGCACGCTATGGGACCAGCTTATTAGCTGGCCTTGTTTCATATTTTGTCTGCAAATCAAAAGTATTCCTAGAATGTTTCAATGACATTCGCAACAGTTGATTTGCGCGTTCGTGCTCACAATGTTGAAGATGTCGATATAGGCATACTGCACTGCAATCACACATTCGGGAGGCCATAGCAGAATCATTATTTTGCGCACAAAAACGACACTTCTTTTTCCAATCCTAACGTGATACAAAATACAACGTAACACGTCCAAAGTTATTGAATGGTTGGGCATAACCCGACCTCTCTTTGGAGTTGTTACGATTAATCTTTCTTTCTTTCTTTCTTTTTCTTGACAATACTTCTCCGCAGGTTTTCTCCTAAAACGGTTAATGATATGAACTTGTAACTTTCAATATATATCGACCCTCATCTAAAGTGAGGCATATTACTCTGACGTCATGATGACGTCATCAGGTGTCAAATTACAAGCACAGATAGTGTTCAGTGAGAAATACCAGACACAAAGAACAGTGTGATGACGTCATCTTTCGAAAGGGCACCCCCAGCGGCCCATTAAACAGTGTTTGCTTCCTTTAATTTGAAAACCACTCATTCAAATTTTACCGAATCGCTCCTTGATATTTTTTGATTAACCCCAAATAACTTGGCAAGGTTTAATCAGACGGAAGTTTCTTCTATGATAATTAAAAAGCCATCATATTTTAAATTTAATTTGTATCATTCGATCCATGTCGTATATCAGCCCAAATAACAATAACATTGTAATAACATTACAATGTTCACTTTTTGCTTCCAAATACTGTGACGTCATCAAATCGGAAGTTCGGTGTTATGAACATATACACTTTTATTTTCCAAATTTTCATACGTTATTTAACTTCTCAATGAACATCCACTCCGAACTAAATCAGTTTTCACTTCCCAATTTTGACTAATGACGTTATCAAGCCAAATAACTTGTATGTGTACATAGAATGTTTACTGAAATTTATCACACCGTTAAAGATGCATTTTTAAACAAAATAACTGATTGTCCTGGAAAGAATTTAATTTGTGATCCTTTGCTCTTACACAAAAATATTAATGACTTAATTGGACAGTGTTTCATAAAATAGTTTTCTACCCATCCACTCTACGTTTGTAACAACAAACGCTATTCTCTACTTTCCTTTCTTTCCTTTTTTTTTCCTTACAATGCTTCTCAGCGGGTTTTCTCTTAAACGATTTATGAAATGAACTTGTTACTTTCAATCGACCCTCATCCCGAGTGGTGGATATTACCCTGATGTCATGATGACGTCATCAAGTACAAGCGACTTTCGTTGAAAAAAATACCATCTTCTTTCACCTATAACTCTTGAACAAAACGGTCAATCTTGTTCAAACTTTGTAATCAGACAGACAATTAGCTGATAAACATTTGTTTTTGTTTTTTAAGTCAAAGTCGTTTGACCTTTCCCTCCTGGGCTGCCGGAAGGTCAAAGTTAGGTGAATTCAAAATATAGAAATTAGCCTCAAATAAAAGGAAAACAAGATTTCTTTCCATTACCGATTAACCTTGCGCAGCGTTTACAACAAAAAACTTTACAACAACTCGTCAACTGCTGCCCTCTGGGCAGCAGGTACTTTCCCGCACTACGCAAGACCCTATTCATAGCAATACAACAAAAAGCCACGTGCCAGACAGTGTCCAGACAGTTGCCATACAGTGCGCTGGAAAGATAATTGACTGGCGGCTGTGGTATGCAGTTGTATGCAGTTATGAAGGGAGATGGCTGTGTCAAGTTACAGGTCTTTGTTGATGTTTCAATGAGACTTGGCAGGAGGCCTGGTCGAAAGTTTGTTGACACGGCCTGGGTGAAGCCCTGGCTGCAAAGTTAATTGAATCAGCTTATTTGGCAAGGGTCGAATTAGCCTTGTTCAAGGCGGTCTCTCGGCTTTTTGTCGAAGGGAGATAATCGGGCCCTGCACCCACAATCAACGCGGCTATACGTGCGTGTACCACCGACCCTTGTCCGTACGAACGGTTCGGTACTAACACAACCAGCAAGCACACACACGTGAGTACGGACTGTAGGCCTACGCATGGTGTAATAAGGCAGTAAATGTAGGCCTACTATGTTCTGCGTGTGGGTGTACGTACGTACGTGTGGGGGATATACGCGCCGCGTGGCCTGTCGAACGACCGCCTTGTTGGGTCTGCAACTTCCGGGTTTAATGTCTTTCTTTACTTTTGCGTCCAGTTTTGGACGAAAATGGGCGGGCTTCAGGATATGCGGGTATGCCGTGATGATTATGTAGGTGTGACGTCGCGCGGCATGCATAATGCATTAGTCATCATGGCGTCTTCCATGTCTTTTTAGCGAGAGCGAAATGTTCGTCACTTTTTCAACAATTTGACATTGATTCGAGTTTTTCGGCTCGTGTAATGAATCCATTTGAGTGGGCAACGATCGTCTAATGACAGCATTACCTGCAGAATTCGTTGGAGCGATCAATACTGCTTCGGACAGACTGGGACTGAACGACTTTCACCCACAGCAACGGGCCGCCATTGCAGCGTTTCTTCGCGGATGCGACGTGTTTGTTAGCCTACGCGGGCTGACCAATGAGAATTCAGTATACGCGGGGGTGGTACCTCATTACCGTAATAGGTTTTGCTGGGTCAACTCATAACCATCAAGGCGTTGGGTTACGCGGACTAGCTCATGCATGTACTTTGTGTGCATGGCTGTTGTACGAGTACGTGTGTGTACGTGCGTACGTACAAGCATAGCCTTGCTGTATGGTACAAGTTACTTTCTCACTAGCAGCGTACGGGCATCGATATGTGCACGCAATTATGCCTTGCCAAGTTGATTAGGGATTTTCTTATCGGCGATTTTTTTTTCTCGGCGAATCGATAAGCCCAACGCCTTGGTCAAGGCTAGGGTCGTCATTGGCCCTCAATTTTTAGGGTTTTTTTTCAAAAAATTCGGTTACCTGGGGCCCAAAGGGCAACAGGTCACTCTGCGCAGGGTTAAAATCGCGCCTCGCCAGTTTTCCTCTCATATCTGAATGCTGAAAATTAATATTTCCACAGCGTGTAGCCACACACTTTTCTGTCGTAAAGTCAGTAAAGAATTTTATTATGCCCGTGCAAAAGAAAAAAAACATAACAGCCATTTTATGATATGATTAGCATATGTTGCATAAACTCAAACGAAGTTAGAGGCTCCGGCAAGTCTATACCAATAGTCCCAACTGGTTGTATGCTTGAGTAGCCATCAATGCAGCACCAGATGTGCGCTTCCTGATAGGCCTACAAGTCTTCTCGAGGTAAAGCAACAGGTTCAGCTGCAGGTTGTGTGATTTTCTTTGTGAAAAACACAGGGTTATGGGTGCAGGGTAATGGGAGGGGTAATGTGCAGTTCAATTATGATTAAGTCACTGTAATTAAAAGAAAATATGCCAGCCCTACATATTGTGCCAGATTTAGGCCTAATTGAGAAAGTAATCGAATGGTATCACAAAAACATATATTAATTTTACATGTATAGATCATTTAAGGCCTTATTCGTGAACACATGAGCGAGCGCGTCCCATGAGCATCCTATGGGATTCCTATGGGGTAGGACCCCATGGGAAACCCATGGGGTCATTAAGGACACCATGTAAGTTGAAATGATAATCATGGGAGATTTTATACTCATGAATCATGGATAACCCATGGAAACACGTACCATGGAGATTGCATGGACAACATGGGAACACCATGGGGATTTTATGAGCTCCATGGGAGCACCATGGGGATTTTATGGACACCATGGGAACACCATGGGGATTTTATGGACATCATGGGAACACCATGTGGAATTTATGAACACCAAGGGAACACCATGGGGATTTTATTGACACCATGGGAACACCATGGGGATTTTATGATACCATTGGAACACCATGGGCATTTACTGGACACCATGGGAACATCATGTGGATTTTAGACACATGGGTACACCTGGGTTATACTGGAGAACATGCATATGCTGCGGGAACCATCATAAACCCAATTGCACTCTCAAGTTATGGGCAAACCTTTCTTTAATTCAATTACTTATTCGCCTGTAAATTTGAATTCAATTAAAAATGTTTCCCTTGTGGTCATAGAGGTTATGAAGATTTTTTGGCTGACCATGGGAAAGGAAGCTGACCATGGGAAACTCTTGTGGATTTTCACCAATTGAACACAATGAGATTAATACATGGGACAACATGAGAACACCATATGACATTTTTGTGAGAATCGCTTCAATAATGAGTATTGTAATTGCAATTTTTTGAATGTTTCTGTTGATAAGTGAAGTCAAATGAAGCATACAGTAGATTTTATGTGGAAAATGTTTCATTCAAAGAACTTTGAATAATATTGAATTCTTGTTATTATGGTTGGAAACATTTATGAGAAAATGAATTGGGTACACTGTGACAATATGGTACAACTTGACAAGTGGTATGGGAGCACTAATGTGGACGTTGGTCATAGAGTGCATAAGTCAATCATAATACGTGGAACAATTACCCCATCGGAGTTCCATGATGTGCTTTACCTATTCGGTAAACAGCACAATTAAACACACAGGGTTAAAATAAATCAAGAGAGCTGTTATTCAAAAATACCATGGAGCACTTTGGAATCTTTTGAGAAATGATAAGAAACCATACATGGGGAAATACATGGGAACATATGTAATTTCCAATGGGAAAAAGCCAATGGGAAAACTCCCATGGGAAAAACCCATGCTACATAGTGTCCAATTCACCATGGGGTCCCATGGGAAAATTTCCCATGGGAACTACATGGTAGATTTCTGTGAGTAACGTACGACGCCATTTTGGAGGATAAACAGACGTGCATCCATGGTTATCTACGTAGTACATAGGTTCACATGTTACTACAATTCAAACATTCGCAAATGTACTAAGGTCAAGTAGAAATATATTCGGCAGGCCTGGCGTGTGATCTAGTACTTTGCTAATTAGTAATACACTGTACATGTATTAACTCACCGGCTGGTGAATTAATTTAGTTACCAGTCTCAGCCGGTATATGATGACACAGTGACTGTAATAATACCTGCAGCAATGTCCCAAGAATCATAATGATAAATTCCAGTTACAAATATGCATATCGTACGTGTTTGTACTTCACTTGTAATGTAACCCGAAGCTTCCACGAATATTTTTGGGTGGACTTTCGGTGGTGTAACTTGCAACTTCACGAACAAAATGACAAGGTTTGCTTATAATGAATAGACAGAACCGACGGGTCAGAATAAGAAAAAGGCTCATGCACAAAATGTATGAGTTGACAACATAATTATAGTCGGGTTCCTTAAAGGCATAACGGTATAGTAGGGCGTATCAAAGAGAAGGAACCACACATATGGCCCACATTAAGGGTGGTGCTACTGCATCTGCTCATTATACATTATGCATCAGCGCAATGAAACTCCAATTGTACATTGCTCATTGCAATGATTAACAATAAGTTTTACCAAATTTATTATCAATAAACATGTATAATATCCATGAAAATGGTTAAGAAATTTCAAACCAGTTTTTCTAAGCAACACTTTCAAAAGGAATGGTGTGTATAGGAATCCGGGCAAGTGATCACGTACACTTGCACGGCCCCCTTTAATGGAGAAACCATTGTGCATGTATGCTATTGTACTAAGCATGCCCCTCGACAGAGAAATTATCTGACCTATGTGTCACAATGCTGTCGCCATTGAAGGGGGCCTTCGTGATAGAAATGACAGAGTTCCCGGATTGCCTGTAGGCTACTCGTTTGCTTACTCAGAATGAACTGCACTCCCAGGTGTAGGGAATTAATGGAGCCGATGACCCACAGTCCCGTATCGAAGTCATCCTTCATGGCCGTGATAAGAACACCGAAAGCCTTCAAGCTTCCCACGATGATGAATTCTGCTAAACAGGCCGCAAATACAACAACCCAGCCTCTTCCGCCTTCTAGGTAACGTTTCCCAGACGCTGCCATAATCCTTTAGAAATCATACACACGCTGTTGGAATGCACAGTGTCATGTACAATGTGCTCCAGCTGTAATGATGCTGCAATACGTATGCAGTTGTGGGGCCTTCCCTGTTGTGTGTATCTAACTACAGATTATCAAAGTTAGATTGCCTGCCGTTTGATCTGCATGTAATTGCCCCCCCCCCGGATCTTCCTCATAAAGGACATGGGATATATACAGTACTGTACTAATACAACAAGAGACACATTGACACAAGCATGGATGATGGGGAAAACACAAAGGGGATACAAGATAGAAGTGTGCAGGCAGACAAAGAAGGAAAAATGGCAGGACAGTGAGGGAAGTGATGCATGAGGAGACAATGCGAAGTACACAAAATGAGAGGAGGAATGGTGAACATCAAAAAGGGGCAACAAAGGAGGTGGTAGAACTAGAACCAAGGTAGGAGCATATAGTTTAGTTGCACTTAATGACGGACAAGGATTGAACACAATAGTATGGGGTCGTGTGGTTGAATGGTCCGACGACGCTTAATTCATCCCCACTTTCCTTGTGTTAATTGGCGAACTGAGTCTTTGCGATAGCATAACAGGCCTATATTCCCTGTAAAATTGTATACAAAATAGGATCATTAGGAAGGTCTTACAACTTGAGGTCCGTGCATAAGGGTTTGCACTTTGCCGTAGCAGGAAAAGGATATTTTAGGGTTTTTTCAGGCTCGGCCGGAGGGGGGGGGGGGGACATTGTGCTCCCATTCTGATTTCTATTCGCGTCAGCCAATTCGACTAAAAACATGTCCGGAATGTTGGTTTGGCCAGTAATCTATAACATGACCTTATTCGGTTGCTCTGCGATGACCACAAGAGGGATTTTGACCAAAAATGAGCAAAAAAGCAGATTTTCTTGGTATTGTTATTCAAATGCTTTCAAATTCGGTACAAATATTTTTGAAGTCAATATCCATCAGATTACAGTTTGTATCAACAATTATCGCTAGAGAGCGCTATACCCACTTATTGTCCGCCAAGCTTGGATATGCTAGTATGGGCCTACTACAAATAAATATCATCAAAACTACATGTATGTCCTTCCACGAGTGATTTTACATCACAAATTCCCTGACTGATACAATAAGGGGAGTCGGGTACTTTCCTCGCCTTCCACCGCTGTCACGCGAGTTCGAATCCCGCCTGGGCCAATATGTGGATTGGGTGTTCAGTCCCTGCCTGATTCCATGGGTTTTCCCCAGAATATTCTTCTGGGCTTTTCCTCCCACCTCTAAACTTTCTCCGACCTCTAAACTAAACTTTCCTCGTTGTCTTCTCTCCACAGGTTTCGTTGGGCTTGCGAGCTTTAGTGCCTTAGGCGCTTTTGAAGAATCCTTAATTGGTTTCAAAAAAAATATAATAACGTCCTAAGATATTTTCAACAGGTCCGATATTAGCGGTATATAGGCCTAGATCAAATATTTGTCACTCGGCAGTCGGCACCCGACCGAGTTACGCTTGGCCTAATTCATTTACAATTAGTGGAAGAACTCGAGGCCTATGCCACAATTCAGGCTCAACTGATTCTAATATACAATAATATACTTGTCCACAATCCCTGACTGTGGAACTCTTAACGTCGCTTGAGGGTGTCATTGTGACGGGAACCAGTGACAAAACCTGGTTGCTTTTGACATCTGTATTGTTCGTGGGTTCCAAAACACGTGTGAATTTCACTTTGTCGTGCGTGCATTTTGCTTCGAAAAGTGACATAGATCAGAGAACGGCTTTTGCTTCAATTGTCTTTTTGGCAAAATGAGGTGAAGCGGCTTGCCAAAAGACACAACATATGGCCGACGGCAGGATTCGAACCCCTGACCCTCTGATCATATGAGTCACGAACCTACTATAGGACACACTCCCGCCCACACTTTCTAAATGTAAAAGCGTGAACCACCCGAAGTTGTCCCGGCCCCATGTGGATCTTTTAAAAGAGTAGGTTCTCTCTTTTCAGTAGAGTGGATTTCCACTATATTCCTGTCGTGAAAAAAAAGTCAAAAGATGAGCGCCTCACTGTAAAATCGGACCACTCGAAAAGAGATGTCCCCATGGGGCTCTTGGTGAGCCAGTGCGTTCAAGCTGCCATGGAAGACCACAGCGGCCAGGTGGTCAGAAATGTAATTTAATTGCAATAAAAATGTTTGCAGTAAAACTGTGCAACATGTTTAGTTATTCTCTTTCTGGATGTTGTGGCCGCCGAGTACGTAGGGCTTTGTATAGTCCGAAAACGATCGATGCCCCTTACTTTCTCACTTCTTTCCGGCGAACTGAGTCTTGCGACAGTCTATTCTATTTCTTGTGAAATCATCTTATATTAATATTTACACCAACGGTCCAATTGACATGCATAAAACAGCCACGCGCGAGAAAGTAAAAAAAAAAACAATAATGGGAAACTTTTGAGACGTTGGTGGCAGCAAACACATCAGTCCTTTTTAATTGTTACGTCATGTTTAAGCTTAAGAGCGCATGCTCAATATGACGCAAACAATGGACAAAGTTCCGGTGTATTTGCTGCTACCATAGTGTCTAAAGTCTCCTATTTTCCAAAGGGGCTCGACAACATACAGCCATCGCTATATCACTGACTAGCTTAATTGGGCCAAGATTTTTTTGTCATTTATGTGATGTCTTATAAGGGGTGCACTTATTTTGCCCATAAGGAAAGTGGTATAGGGTCTTTTCAGGTGGGGGGGGGGGTTCCGGCTTTCAAACGCGTCAGCCGATTTAAATCCCAACAAAGTGTCGCGAATGTTGGTTAATTAATGGGTCAGTAATCTGTCACATGACGCAAGTGCGCGGTAGTGAACACAAGAGGGCGCTTTTTTCAAAAATGGGCAAAAGCAGAATTGTTCGGGTATTTTATACATTTGTTATTTCAAACGCTTTTGAAATTTGGAACAACATTATTGGGAACAATCAAACAACAGTTTATACGTGTATCTAACATTACCGCTAGAGGGCGCTATACCCACTTTTTGTGGAGACCCCCTGGTCCGGTTGCTCTACATTATGACCTGCTGCTCGTACCCATCATCAAAATTATGTCCTTAAAAAAAACGAGTAATTTAACATGATCAAAAGTTCCCCGACTGATAACGTCCTAAGATTTCAACAGACTGCGGCTGCGGGTGTACGGGCCTATGTAGCCTATGTCTATTTTTTGTCCGTGCATCCGACTGCATGATACGCCTGCAAGTCCCACTCAAGTGGGCAGACCACAATCGCAATTGAGGGGTTTTTTTTACAGTATTTTTTTTCATATACAATTTAATTGTCTACAATCCCTGACTAATGGAGCAATAAAAACAATGTTCCATGCCTGCAACACACGTTTATTAATTGCTGATAAAAATAAGCCGAGTTGAGGTGTGCATTTTGCACCTTACTATATCCGCTTGAGGGCGTCCTGCGTCCTTGTCATAGTGACGGGAACCAGTGAAGAAATCTCGTTACTTTCGACGTCCATTGTTCGTTGGTTTCAACGCACGTGCGAATTTCACTTTGTCCGTGTGCTTTGCTTCGTCGCGTCGGAAGTGACACAGAGAACGACTTTCGTTTAATTCATCATTTCATAAAATGCGCTTCATTTGAAATCAGACCACGATAGTTTGTAATAGTGAGCACAGGACTGTTAAAAAGAAAAGAAGATTATTTTGTTTCATGGATGAGAAATGTCGACGGAGAATATGGGGTGCAAAACGGGCAGCACGACCAGGTACAACCTCGTCCCCAGTGCTTACTTTATTTCCAACCTTGTTTCCAATAGTAAACCCTGGATAGGAAACTTCCTTCCTGCATCCTGATTCGATACAGCAATTGGCTAGAAACTGATTTATATCGTGTACTTGGTGTTGTTACTCACAACGTGCAGTACGTGTTTTCGCGATCATTCGTCCTCGTCTTCTCGAAAATATTCATTTCCTTTCATGCCTTTCCAATTTGTTAATATTAATATGATTATGAAATGTCATACTGCATGTTGTCTCGTTAAGATCGTAACAATTTAATTAAAATGAAATCATGTTTTGGTAACTCAAGCCATGCTCGCGCTGCGACGAATTGATTCTGTTTTTACCCCAGACACCGCATACAAAAACAAACGCAAATGTAACGCACAGGCATGACAGGCAGGCACCAGACAATTCCTCATTTGCATACGTGTTCAAAAATCTTGCACATGTAAATGATCCAATACCAGGGTGATATGAGCAGGTAGTGGTGGGCGCGTACTGCTTGACACCCTGGGGACGAGGTTGGACCAGGTATTGATAATTTGATTGCAGTTGCGCACCTGCACACTTCGACTCGAACAATCATTGTCCCATGTCCAGAGCCCACCACGTACGGTCCTACTAAAATGCGTCAACAAGCGTCAACAAGCGTCAACAAGCGTCAACAAGCGTCATCAAGTTCAACGGTCGTCAACCCAGCGTTAAAGAACATCTTCAGCATTAAAATTAAAGTTAAAATTATTTCGAAAGTTGTTTTTCAACACAAAAAAGAACGACGAGTTTGTAGAGTTAGTGTTGGCCGCCATCTTGTTTTCTGAAGTTAGCCATAATACGCATGCGTGAAGTGTAAACAAGATGGCGGCCAACACTAACTCGACAAACTCGTCATTCGTTTTGCGTTGATGTTGATAAAACAACCAACAACTTTCAAAATAATTTTAATTCTAATTTTAATGCTGAAGATGTTCTTTATTGCTATTTCTACCATATAAAGCCGGTTTTGATGTTCCAAAACTTATATGGTTTGATGTGGTTTGACAACTTTTGAACTTGTTGATGCTTGTTGACGCATTTTAGTAGGACCCCACCTATATATCTCCCCAACTGTCCCCGGTTCACAAACTGAAAAGGTCATCCAGTTCAATTTGGCACTAGGCGTAGGCCTAGAACTTTCTGGGTGGAAACGTCGTGAAGAATTTAGTGTGTCATTGAACAACGTTGAAATTCAGTTTGAACTTGTTCATGTTGAAACAATAGTCGAACTATTTGTTGTGTCCGGAAATTGGGCACAATAATCGACCAATTTTTTTATGGGAAAGAATGTAGCATCCAGACGCCACTTCAACGGTTTTGTACAAACTTTATGGAGAGTCCAGAACATTTTTTAAGTATTTCTTCAACAAAATTGGAAATGTTAGGCCAAATAAAAAAAAACATGTTTAGCATCCTGCATTTTTGAAAGCTGACTACTTCGTGGTCGAGCGTCGCTTTGTGGTCGAGAAACTAGTAAACAACTCGTGAACACGCACACACACCCTTTCTTCTTTGAAGTATTGGTGTGATATTAATTAAAGGGAATATACATCATTTGCTTTTGCTGTAATTTTCAGAAATGGATGGAATTAGGGGGTTGGAAATATATAGCAAATATAGTTACACTGACTTTTTGAGGTTTTGGGTTCAAAAATGCTATAAAAACCAAGAAAAACAATCATTTTCCTGTAGTCTGGTTCCCTGACTCCATATAAGAAGAAACAGAGCAGTTTACATACATTGGGGAAATTGTAAGGTCAGGGAACCAGTCTAGCTGGCTTGTACCCGTTCATAGGTGTGTAATCGACTGCAAACAAGTGCGATGGTCAATTGGGGCCAGTATTTGAAAAAAAGCAAGTTTTTTCCAACGCTGGTCGGCAGACCAGCATTGGAAATTGATACAAAAATACCACTTTTCTTGAAAATGACAGTACACCAGGTGCCATGATTTTACAGGATGCTTTACACTGTCATTCACTAACAGTCCAGCAAGGTATTTCAAAATAATTTGGTAGTTTTATTTTTTGATGTTTGCAAATGTTGTATTTTCCCTTTAACAAGAGAGTGTCTTGCTTTATCAACAGAGCTCCGGGATTACCACGATTGGGAGAAACACAATTACCATCGAACCTTTGACCTGTCGACCCATGGCATAACCGAAGGTGTCGCCCGGGTTGACTCGACCAAGATATCTCTGCAGGAATTCATCAATAATTTTGAGAGACCGTCGATTCCGTGCGTGTTGACCAATGATCAGACGGACTGGCCGGCAAGGGAGAAATGGACGCCAGAGGTAAAGAAATCTTGCTGTTGGTTTTGCGTTGTCCTTGGGCAAGCCACTTTACCCCAACTTGCCTCTCTCCGCCTAGGACTAACGGGTACAGGTATTAGTTTTGGAGTGTGGAGTAGTGGTTAGGGTTTGTGACTCCTAAGGGTCAGAGTTCAAATTCTGCTGTTGATTTTGTGTTGTCCTTGGGCAAGCCACTTTACCCAACTTGCATCTGTCTGCCCAGGACTAGCGGGTACAGGCATTAGCCCTAACCCCCTAGGAGGGTGACCACTGCCTCAATATTTCAAAATCCTCTGCCAATTCAGGCGATTCACAATGCAGTGCGCCACCAAGAGTTTGCCATGGAGAGTCAACTTTTCAAGTTTACGGTCTACAACACATGGCCCATTTGAATGAGTGTCATTACACAATTTGAGCTAATTTGTTATAGATTTGGGCATAGCATTCTGCTGCCTTATAAAAAATCACCATATTGATATAAAGAAAAGAAAAAGGCAAACATATACTCGAATCATATGCTTATGAAACTACTGACCGGAAAAAAAACGAACAATTTCAAATGTCCCGTGCTGCGAATTTGTCGACCATCTCCCACAATGCACTGGGAAAAAATGAACTCTCTGTGGCAAACTCTTGGTGGCGCACTGCATTGTGAATTGCCTGAATTACTGCTATGGGTTTGAGGCAGTGTGAGTGGCATTTAGAAGCAGTGCAGATGAAATACGAGAAAAACACGGCTGATTTATGCAACTGAATATAACCAATGCAGGATATGGCCTACTGGCTTGACGTAATGCATCCTCCACAAAAAAAGCAATACATCTTTGCCATTCTTCCTCAATCCTCCAAAATCATCCAAAACTGGCAGGATGATTTTGGAGGATCAACATGTACATGATTGACATGTACATGTACATGTATGGCTTTACGATAGACGTCAGACACACAAAGGGAGAACAAAAGATTCGTTCAGTCCTCGAACGTTGGGTCATTTCTTGAAAACGGTCCTCGATTGTACGGTAATGTGCTTAGTCTATGGGAGAGTGTTATTACAGGGACAAAGGCAAACACAAAGCATTGTCCTCGGGCGTATAGAAATTCATGACTGCGTGTACAGTACAGTGTATACACGTACAGTATAATGTGTTATAGTTTGAGTATGCACTGCAGGGTAGGCATTACATTCACTGTGTGGACTTCCGAACAAAAGAGGTCCACATAAACCAGGTAGAGGCGACGTTGTGTGGACTTGGGCAAGTCCACACAGTGTTTCCCCATTTCTGGAAAACAGGTTTAGAGGCATTTTTAGGTTAGGTTTATCCATGGCAAAATGAAGAGAATCACTAAAAGGGATCATAGAAAAACAATTGGGTTCAAAGAGTTTTCACAGTTTGAGAAAAATGAGTTTTTTTCACTGTTTTTTCTTAACTACACGAAACCAAGGGAATGTCCACACATGGTATGTAACGTAAACATCAGTGCGTTTTGCATGTGTACAGCCGGTATAAAGCTACATGTATGGCTAGTGATGTGTGCCGCTGATGCAGTACACCCTTGTAATCAAGGCTAGCGATGGACTGGCAACCATCCATGGGGAATAGAAATGTTCTCAAACAGTCCATGCCACCATGACAATGGGAGATACATGTAAACGCTTTCTCTGATGGGCAACGTTGGGTTGGTAAGGTCCAAAAAAAAAGTCTCCGGTTTCTGGTATTCGCGCACGTCGGCAAAATGAAAAAAAGGGTTTTTTTCAATGTAAGATGATGTCTCAAAACGGCCAAACTCACTGGTTTGACTGCAATCCTGCTGCTGCACAATTTTAACCTGTTTTTAGATGGGTTTACGATCGAGTATAAGCTTTATGTGGCCTCTCTGGACTCCCATATATATTTGAACTAAATTAAAGTCGGGCACCAGTTGCAGTCATCGGTCGACATTTGAAGAAGAAAAAAAGGTACCAAAAAAACAGAAGCGCCGCCGCACCACTTTTGGCGCAAGATCCATACCAGAAACTGAATACTTTTTGGGGGGCCTAACAAACTTACAACATGTACTTAACTCTTTCAAAACTTTGCTACATGTATTTATCACACTGAAATGTGAATACGATTTCTGTTTTTTTGCTATTTTTTTAGCGGCTAGCCAAGAAGTATCGCAACCAACGTTTTAAATGTGGCGAAGATGACGAGGGTTACTCAGTCAAGATGAAGATGAAATATTACATCAAATACACGACCAACAACAGAGATGACAGTCCTTTGTACATCTTTGATAGTAGTTTTGCAGAGGTACTTGTAAATTATTAAATGGTCTCCAAATTAAACACCCTTACTTTAAAGGTTTTATACAACATTTGCTTTCGCTAAAATTTTCAGAAATGGTCGGATGTTGGGGTTTTACAGCAAAAATGGTTACACTGACCTGTTAAAGTTTTGTGTTCATAGATGCTGAAAAAAAAACCAAGGAAAAGATGCTGTTATTGTAGTCAGGTTCCTTGACCGTACTTCAGATGGAACAGAGCAATTTATAGATGTCTGGATTCGTCAGGTCAGGGAACTGGACTAACTGACTTGCACCGTACAAACAAAATGTGGACTTAATTTGGGAAATTGTCCCCAATTTCCCAATTCATTTTTGGTTTCCCTTGACACTCTCGAAAGTTGCAGTTTTCATCATAAAGTAATACAGCTCAAATTGCCACATTAACGCAGTGATGTGGTAGTATTATCGCGCTAATCTTTATGAACTATCTGAGCAGAAACTTCCAAGATTTTAATTTTGGGTTGGGTTTCTTTAACAGATGCGCAGGTATCCATCTTTTTTTTTTGCAATCGGATACTTGTAACTTGTAACGTACTACCCATAAATGTAATTGACAATACATCTTTTCTTCAAATTAGGTTTTGCCCTTCACCGACATATAAACACTTTATATTCAGTGTGTTATCTCCCGAGTGGAAGTTGGACCTTTTCTTTTTTTTATTATCCAAAAACAGCACAGCAAGCAGAAACAGCTCCTCAATGACTACAGTGTGCCCAAGTTCTTTCGCGATGACCTGTTCAAGTATGTCGGGGAAGACCGCCGGCCGCCGTATCGCTGGATTGTCATTGGTCCCGCCCGATCAGGCACTGGAATCCACATAGACCCGCTGGGCACCAGTGCTTGGAATGCACTTGTCAGCGGTCATAAGAGGTAGGAATTTTATCAACAGTGCTGAAAATGATCCACCAGGTTCGATTCGGTTCGGTTATGGTTCAGATTTTTTTTTTTGTGAACATCAGTTCAGTTGGGGTTTGGAAGCACATGTACAATGTACACTGAAAAACATACATACATGAACGTTTAATTCGCCAGATCGCGCCGTAAGTCGGCTTTTATAAGTCGTCGTTTCGCATAAGTTAGCGTGTTACTTTCGGTCCCCAACAAAATGCACAACGAAATCCTTTGTGTAAATCGGCATTCATAAGATCATGCATTGGTATCTACTTCCTGCACTACGGTTGCGGTAACAAAATACATGAACTGACTGTGCCAAACCAGTGCGCGAAAGCAATAAGGGGTTTTCCGAATACATACAATACTGCATCGTGCGCAATACCAGTAACCCCTCTACCCTGCACGCATGCACTCTGTCTATTTTGGGGGTCGTCTTATTGATGGATTGAATGATTCAGTAAATTTTACCATGCGTGATCTCTTAGAAATACTACTACTACATTGTACGGATTATGCACACCGAAGACAGGCAATCGTGGAGCTTAGCCCACCAATCAATGAAGATGAATGCAGTGATTTGTTACCACGGTAAATCCAATCATCCTTGAGTTTTGCAATCTGTTGGAATATGTTGCTTGAGTACTGTACTAGTAAACTGAATATGCTTTACATGGGGTCAGGCATACCACCATAATCAGAGTCCAACAGTTTGGGTGTAGAGTGTACCATATGGTGTTTGATTTTGCAAAAGTGAAGAAGGTTCCTAGTAAATCACTCAAGGGGTGAGGATTGAAGGATAAAAAGAAAGAGTGGCCCGTAACTATACAATCCCTCAAATTGTTGCCCTTTTTCCTTAGGTGGGTCATGTTCCCAACTCACACACCTAAGGAGCTACTGAAAGTCACTCAAGAGGAAGGGGGCAGACAGCGGGATGAAGCGATCACATGGTTCAACGTCATCTACCCACGATGCAAGCTGCCCTCGTGGCCTAAAGACTGCCAACCGGTAAGAAAAGCCCTTTTCACACGTAGCCCCAAAAACTTGCTTGGTTTGAGAAACAAATTGTGATTCGAAATCATTTACATTTGCGTGCATCTGCGCTAGTCAACCCAGATACGTATTTCTTCTATTTTGACCTGGATCTCGGATGCATGCAAAAAGGTTGAATGTGCACACAAATACATGTACAAAATAAAATTTATTTTTCAGCTTGAAATCATTCAAGGACCAGGAGAGACGGTCTTTGTCCCCGGTGGATGGTGGCATGTCGTCATCAACCTAGACATGGCCATCGCTGTCACACAGAACTTCAGCAGCCAGACCAACTTTCCCACCGTCTGGCATAAGACGGTCCGAGGCCGGCCCAAACTGTCCAAGAAGTGGCTTGTTGCACTCAAGGTAAGTGCTCCCATTAGCATAGATCTGTATTACATTGTATAACATTGTATAGCATTGTATTTGTTTCTCAATGAATCAATATCTTTAGAGCTTGGATGGTGATGGGAGGAAACAGGGAGTAACAGGCAGGGCAGTTTGGGGCAGTACAGGGAGTAACAGGCAGGGCGGTTTGGGCAGTACAGGGAGTAACAGGCAGGGCAGATTGGGGCAGTACAGGGAGTAGCTGGCAGGGCAGTTTGGGGCAGGACAGTCATGACAGCAACAGGCAGGGTGGTTCGGGCAGTACCGGGAGTAACAGGCAGGGTGGTTTGGGCAGTAGAGGGAGTAAAGGGCAGGGCAGATTGGGGCTGTACAGGGAGTAACTGGCAGGGCAGTTTGGGGCAGTACAGTCATGATGGTGGGTAACAGGCAGGGTAGTTTGGGGTGGTACAGGGAGTAAGAGGCAGGGTGGTTTGGGGCAGTACAGGGCGTAACAGACAGCGGTTTGGGGTGGTACGGGGAGTAATAGGCAGGGTTGTTTGGGGTAGTACAGGGGGTAACAGGCAGGGCAGTTTAGGGCAGTACAGGGAGTAACAGGCAGGGCAGTTTGGGGTGGTACAGGGAGTAACAGGCAGGGTAGTTTGGGGTGGTACAGGGAGTAACAGGCAGGGCGGGTTGAGGCAGTACAGGGAGTAACAGGCAGGGTGGTTTGGAGCAGTACAGGGAGTAATAGGCAGGGTTGTTTGGGGCAGTACAGGGGGTAACAGGCAGGGCAGTACAGGGAGTAACAGTCAGGGCAGTACAGGGAGTAACAGGCAGGGCAGTTTGGGGCAGTACAGGGAATAACAGGCAGGGTGGTTTTGGGCAGTACAGGGAGTAACGGGCAGGGTTGTTTGGGGTGGTACAGGGAGTAACAGGCAGGGTAGTTTGGGATAGTACACGCGCACTAAAAGGCTGATGATTGGTTGGAATTTTGCTACCCTTTTGGGGTAGCAAAAATCGAGATTATAAAGAAAAACATCAGAAATTCTTGACAAGTTGGAAAAGGCCCTCGTGGCTTCACCACTCGCGTGTGTGGTCTCCTGCTCTAGTCACTTTCCGTTTTTGCCGCTTTGTCTAATGCTGGCAAGTTAAGTCATGATGGCTTTGGCGAAGGGCTATACAGGGAGTAACAGGCAGGGTAGTTTGGGGTAGTATAGGGAGTAACAGACAGGGCAGTACAGGGAGTAACAGGCAGTTTGGTCAGGGGCATGAAGGGCATAACAGGCATGATGATTTAGGGCAGTGCAGGGGCGGTTCAGGGACAATGATCCCTCCAATTTTAACATGATTTTTAAACACCGTAGTGTGTTATAGTTTTTGGTCCAAAACTGATGAACAGGGGTAATAATTGTGAAGCCCTTTGAGACCTTTTGTATAAAGTGCTACATGTATATGGGCACCAAACTATTATTACTATGATGACGTGTTTTGATACAGAGAGAAAAGCCGGAGCTAGCTGCCATTGCTGATCAGGTGGATCTGTCTAGACCCTCTGGTCTGCAGTCAGACAGCAGCAGCTCATCGAGCTCCAGCTCCTCAAGCAGCGACAGCGCATGCTCCTGCTGCGGTCACAGCGCTTCAGACAGCGACAGCAACAACGAATCAGACAGACGAACAAAGAGGTAACGTATTGAGCCTGTTGGGGAACTGTAGAGGGCGCTGTTTGTTCTTACGCAACAGACCGATCCATTAAGCCCGCCCTGTGGTGTTCTAACCAATCACAGCCGTGATTTACGTCTGATATACAGTGTGAGTCAAAAAAACCTATACACTTTTAAAATTGGCCATAGTTTTTCTCTTTAGTAATATAGATAAGATATTTTCTAAGATATGTACTTTTAGAGTAACTCTTCCTGCTTCTTTTGGTGACATTTTCACTGGTTTAGTTTTCATGCATGACTGCACAGGAGACAATTAAACGGGTCGGGTGAAATCTGACTTGCGCAAACTGGTCAGGACTGGATAAGAAGGAGACAATTTAAAAGAACACAACCATTGTCTTGGTTCTGGTCATGGAATGCATAATCAGTTTAGATTTGTTGATCTTGCTTGCAAGAGTTTCAGTAGGCAAATCTGGATGACCTCCAGGAAAGGATAACTCGTGAAATTGACATTCTCAGACAAGACAGGGAGGTGATTCGCCGTGCTGTTGCAGGAATGATGCGCCGTGCCCAGCTATGTGCATTGAACGAGATGGTGGCCATGTTGAGGACTAAGACACCCTGGAATTTAATTGCCTTTTTAATTTAATTGAAACGTTTTAAATAAACACGAAGTTTAAAAGCTAATGAAATCCTGTTTTGTCTCTTTGTTAGACAATGGTTGTGTTCTTTTAAATTGTTTCTTTCTTATCCAGCCCTGGCCAGTTGGCGCAAGTCAGATTTTGACCACTTTAATTGTCTCCTGTGCAGTCATGCATAAAAACTAATCCAGTGAAAATGTCACCAAAAGAAGCAGGAAGAGTTACTCTAAAAGTACATGTGAAAATATCTTATTTATATTGCTACAGAATAAAACTATGGCCAATTTTTAAAGTGTATAGTTTTTGTTGACTCGCACTGGATGCATGTACAAATTTCGGACATGCGTACTGCGCATATGACGTGTTGCTGGAACATGCAGTGTGGCATTGGAGAGCAGCACATGTTAATTATTCCCGGCATCACTACTTACGCATGCTAATTTTAACGAATATCCTGGATAGCTGTCACTCAGTCCACACAGTCCTCATTGTTCCTGAGTGACTGTCACTTAGACATTGACTTTAGGCATTGACTTAGACATTAGACTTGCTTCAGGCTCACATTGGTCCAAAACTTTGAAATAGAATTACCCCATAACACCAATGAATGGGCTATATCTGGCCCATCGTGTAGTACATACACATGAATGAAAAGACAGTGAATAGCCTTTCTTAAAGCTACAGTCCATCATTTGTAATTAGTGCATTTTGTTCGTTTGAAGCAATAAAAGTGTTCAAAATCTAATGAAGGATACTGAACAACTTACTTGATGAAGTTTCAGCTCAGCTTCAGCTTCATATTCCGAGAAACACAGCATTCTAGGATCTCAATTTAAAATCAAAAGTTGCTAAATCATGTTTCGAGTTGTTTTGAATTGCAGCTTTACGCGATGTTGCGCACTGATCCAACGAATTATAGCAACCGCGCGCGCCTGTGCGTCGTTCCAATGCTTGTGCGCGCTACGCCAAATAACAAAACGAACAACTAATTTAAATTTTCCTACGGTGCTTCTTAAGAAGCACCGTTGGAAACGCCTTCTTTCGTTGATTTCTTCAAAATGAGAGCTTGCCAGAAAGGATAATTTCACTGGGAGTTTAGTCCCCTTACTATCTTTCAACCAAGCATGTTTTTCAACAACAATTACGCCGGTTACTTTTTTGGAAAGCTGCAAATGATGGACTCGGGCTTTAATCGATTGAATGGAATTTTGTCCTAGCTTTACTTGGCTTGCCAAGTCGGTCGCACCACGAACCGGCATATCTCGATTTTTTACCAAAGTGAGTTTTTTTCATAAACGTCATTATTTCATCAAAGTTCTCATTCTCAGAAAGTTTCATTTCGATCTGAGTTCTAATTAACTAAGAACACTTAGTCTGTGCGGCCTATCTCTAAAAAAAAATCAAAAATTTTGCACCATGAAGTGGCGTATCGGTACACGCTAATTCACATAGTGCTATGACGTCACCGAGGAGCGGATCGACATGAAAAGTGTGAATTTAGCGTTTCACAAAGCGACGTATCTCCGTATCTGGCCCCAGCCACTGTTACGCGCGTTGTACGACATACGATAAACATGATAAAAATCTGTTTCACGAAGTGACTCGTATCTTGGGAACTGAATTTCTCAAAAACTAAGCAACTCAGATGCACACGGGTTGCATACATTAAAGTTCAATCTATAATTTACTAGCAAAAACGAAACAGCTTGAATTCTTACAAAGGGAGTATATGGAGTGAGCCTACAAAATAATGACCAACTTTGAATTGGTTTTTCTCAAAACACACAAAAAATGTGATACGTCGGTTCGTGGTGCAACCGACAAGTTAAACATGTACGTCCGTCTTTGTGCTTTTCCTGCTTTGTTTTGAGGAAATTTTGTCATAGGAATGCTCAAAGCGTAGAGTCCATGTGGCATTTAGTTCTACCAATTTTGTTTCCCTCTGAATAGACGCAAAGTGTCCATGTCTGCAAGTTCACCAGACAGCGCCCAGAATGAAGAAAACATTGAACAAACCGGCGGGAAATACCTTCAGACATTGCACCAATCACCAATGTCGTCTTATCCCCAACAGCCACATGCCCAGCCAGTCAGCCAATTGGGTGGAGCGTACCACAGCAGATAATGAAGGCATGTAGTACCTGTGTGTGCTCTGTATGCATGGTGCTACATTAAAACACATTCAATCAAACAAATGTTAGGATGGACAAGTTGTAAAAAGTAAAATCTTTGTTTTCTGACAGAAAAACAAACAAAGTGGAATTTAGACACCCATGTTGGGTACGAACAATCTTTCTGTCGAAAACAAAATATAACTTCAAAGTATCTTTGAATTACCAAACAAAGCCAAATATAGCAATGGCAGCAAACTTATATCAAGTAATGTAGTTAGAATTGTAACAAAATATGCACTTTCGCAAGTATTTCATGGATGGCGATTACTAATTTTGGATTTCTAAAGATTTTTTCCCAAGTACACGTAGAGCAATTTTGTTCAAGAGAAATCTGAGTGTTATGTGTAGTAGTATGGAAAAGGCCTTACATTTTTTTGGTGTCTTTACATACATTGTATGTGTTATGTGGAAAACTTTGAATTTGATGATTAACCCTAACCCAATAGGCCCTCTGGCTACCTCAATCCTGCAAAATCCTTCAAATACCACCAAGGAAAAATTGGATTCAGCGTCAATCCTCCAAAATCATCCATTATGTCTTGAATTTGGTCTGTGGAGGGTGACCACTGCCTCAATCCTCCAAAATCCTCTGCCAATTACTGCTATGGTTTGGGGCAGTGCGAATGGCGTTTAGAAGCAGTGCTATGAAATACGAGAAAAACACAGGGCTGATTTATGCATGGCTGAACATAACCAATGCAGGATATGGCCTACTGGCTTGACGTAATACATCCTCCACAAAAAAAGCAATACATCTTTGCCATCCAATCTTCTAAAATCATCCAAAACCGGCAGGAGGATTTTGGAGGATTAAGGAGGGTTAGGGTTAAGATACATTAAATCTTATTTGTTAAGAAGTAGTCACATGAGGATGCTTCATCAAATTTGATTGGTCAAAAGTAGTCACATGAGAATAGTTCATTGTATCTGATTTGCCAAACGGTAAGATGTGGCATCTGATAGGTCAAAATGTAATCATATGATGGTGGCTATCAAATCTGATTGGTCAGTTGTCGCATAATGATGGCTCGGGAAACACAGTTGGTTAAAATGTAGTCACATGAGGACAACTAGATAATTTTGATTGGAAAAATACACACATACTGTAAGTTGCAATGTATACAGATTTGCATGTAAAAGTTGGCTGCTTGTAACGTTCACAAAGTGCACATATTTAACATGCTTCTGTGAAAGTGTATTTGAATGAATTTAATAGAGGTTTTGTTTCCAATAATGACCAGTGATGACTCACAAACACCGAAGTGTAGCTACAAATCATAAACTTCACAGCTGCAGTTGGTTCTCAGTAACTTAATACTTTAAAAGCAAAGTGAATTTTATGCCATAACATCAGCTCAAGGGCAAATCCAGAGAGATTACTGGGGGGAAGGGGGGGGGAGGACGTGCAGAAGGGCTCTCACAAAGTGAAAAATGATGTTATTTGACAATTATTGTCACTGCCAGGGGTGAAGGGGGGGGGACTTCTTACCTCCGCCACTGCAGCGGCTACTGTTTCATTGTGATGTTAGCCATCTGCTACCCCAATACATATTCCTGTCACTCTTACATTCACCTGAGCTATGAACCAGACTAGGGCTGTCCATTTCCAAATAATTTAGTATTCGGTTATTTGAAAGCGCACTTGACCGAATATTTGAAACTCGCCGATCAAGTTTTACACACGCCAGCTGCAGCTGCCTTCCTTGCCGGTCAAAAGTCGCATACAAAGCGCGTCGGTTGAAATTTGCATGCGATGATTGATATTATTGGCACTGGAGTGTTTTGCATTAAGTACTGTATAACTGTCAGTATAACTTGACAGTATAACTGTCAGGGGACTTTACCTAGCTAAAATAATGTGACCAATAAATAGGAGTACATGTATACAAGAAAGTTACCGTCGACAAAACAGTGGCATCTGACAAGAAAAAAATGCAACTTAACAATCAAAATAACACCACAGTCGTGTGTGCATATATGTGCATAGTTTGTGGACATGCAGTCCTAAACCAGACACTATAAAGTTCACGTAGATTTAAAATTATGACACTTGTACTTGTAGGCGATTATTGGACCTTTCCCCCACTTTTTTTTCAATGGACCATCTTAGGTTGTATTTGTTGACGTTATTCGATTGGATTAAACCACTGATGAATTCAAGTTTCACTTTTGTTTTTATAAAATTTGAAATATCAAAAAATTGTGCTTACGTGTGATTTTTCTTTGGGCTGTTTGTCCCTACAGTCAGTGGCGTAACTAAAGGAAGGGGGGGCAAGCGGATGTCCGTGGCGCTGCAGGTGACCCCTCCCCCCCCCCCTTTCCCCTATTTAACATCTCGAACTTAATAACCACGCGGGCATCAACATGTCAAGAGTGGACATGTACATGACCTGTGACCCCATAACAAATACTGCAATCTTTTTCGGACGAACTCACTACACTAAATTTCGCCTGAAATTTACAACATATAACGATAGACACCAACAGAAACAGAATTCAATTTTTTTCCTGGCTATTGAGTTATTAACTATAATTATGTTCCATGGTAAATACCAAGTGAAAAAACTGTCCCTAGATTCCTAAAAATCAACATTTTTCTACACGTAGCTACAACGTATTCCAGGGGAATGACATTTCTGAACAGACCCAGCACTTTATCAACAAATAAATTATGTTATTTTCTTCGCTGTTACGATTCATAAAATATCATCACCGTTTTGGGCCAATGAAAGCATTATAAACATCGGTAATTTAGACAAAACACGCCACACATGCATTTATACAGCCGTAGATAGTGTGCAGCCAACGTCTATGTTACAACGTCTATGTTAATATACACCATTTTGCAGTTTTATACACTTGTCATTAAAAAACGACATCACTTCTAAGTTGCTCTAGTGGCGCTTATTTCCGGACCATTGACAATAGGCCCTCACGCCCAGCTTAAGATATTTATTTTCTCCCCCCCCCCCCCCCAAAAAAATAGAGTCTGGCGCCGCCACTGAGCAAGAGCTCTATATATCAGTAATATAGTATAATATAGACCTATCTTGCTGCCTTATATCATAGGCTTAAATACTGGAGCCACTGTGTGACTCCAGTAAACCATTGAGGTGCCCACTGTGGAGCAGTTCATCAAGGGGGCCATCAATTAAACATCAAGGCGAATGTCTTTTTATTTACTGGCACCATCAGAAGTGCACTTGTACAAAGAAACTACAACCAGAGCACATTAATTGTCCATTGTTATGGCACACACCAGTCCCTCAATCTAGATACGAACATGCTTCGATGAGAACCGTAGTGGATGTAGATGTAGTATAAAAGCCTATAGCAAGAGGTCTATATTATACCTACTAGACCGCTTGCTACCTTGACCAAAATTAATAGTCTTTTTTAACGTTAACAAAAAAATGCCAGGTCTGTTGAGAAATGTCATTGCCCCTGGATTAAGTTTCCTGCCAGTGGCGGAAGAAACGGAATTCATTCACTTCCGTATGCGTACAGCCACCTGCCGTGACCTGTACACTGAAGTCACGTACAGCACGTACGCAGTTACACACGCATTATGTGGGTCACAGCGCCCCCTATAAAACATCATGCCTTTAGAGGTTTTCTAAACCTCGGCTTCATTCCGGTTCGACCGATGAAAAATAATGTGTAATATTTTTACCGGAGTGGCGTGCAGTTTTCAGATAACTGGGGACCGTGGAGTACCTTTTGGATGAAATGCTAAACCCCTCACGCATTGAAAGACTATTCAATATAAATAGGTCTAAATCAAACATTCAAAACGATAAAAAAAATAATAAAAACTGTTTAGTGACTATAGCAGGGAGTCGAATGTAACTACATGTATATACGGCATGTACATAAAATAATAAATAAATTGGCTTTACCCCTAGCTTCAGAATAATTAAGAATTCCATTATGTCAAAACTATATGGACCTTCTCCCATGGTCTATTTTAAACCTCCATGATAATAGTTTCCCAATTGGGGACGAGGTTGAAAATGCGTGCGCATCTCGCCGACTGCCTTTAATATATGAACCCATCTTTTTACACAACATAATGTAGTTAGCTTCCGGTCGCGATCAATGCACACACATTCGCCACCTCGTCCCCCTTGCACCGAACAATGCTATTGTCGCCGAGGTAAAGTAGACGACCCTGGAAACGAGTGAACGCATGCGGCGTAGCGCGTTGCGGAAGCAGGCGCGGTTCTAGAGCCAGTATTTTTTTGGGGGGGGGGGGGTGGATCCAGATTTTTTTCCAGAGAGGCGTGCTGAAATGTAGACTGGTTATTTTCTCCGGACACTTAAGGCCTCTGAATATCAATACGGAAGGGGGGGGGCGCTCCCCCCCCCCCCCCCCCCCCCCGTAGAACCGCCACTGTGCGGAAGTACGTGTTGCCGAGGTCACAAGTTATAATCTATCCAGCGCGCGTGGGTACGAGAAAATAATGGGGAAAGTCCCTCAATGTTCCGTGCAGTATTTAGACAGTGTTTATTGGCCTTGGAATATGACCTGCTGGGGACGTGGTTCACGTACTGATCCTTTTGTTCCGATTTCAAAGCTGTACGCCGTGCCTAGACAAGGATGTATACTTCATGTGCAATAAAAACATACTAGACTTGGCTGCTGTAACATAATTGTTATACCGCATTGTACAAGTACAAGTTCGTATTGATTTCAGTGACTTCTCGTTTGTATTGCAGTGAAGTGAGACAAAAATGGCAGGTGAGTTTTTGTCCATTTCTTTTCACTGTGCTTTTTGTGGTTGAGTTTATGTAAGGCTTTCCCATACGCGAGGAGGGGGCGCATATACCCACGCAGAAGAATTGTCCAGATTTTAGACCACTTCAATTCCGAAATAACGGTGAATCATAACTACGGTACAACTATATCGCCTGAAACGATAATTAAACACAGTAGGAGTAGTACGTGGGAAGGAGAAAGTTGCCAGTGGACTAAGTGCTAATACCTTCATGCTATACACGGTTTTAAACAAAGACAGAAATGCCTGGAAGCAATCACTTTGTTTTTGCACCAACAAAAAACCCCGTGCATCCCGTGGATTATGGGTCGCAGGTAATGACAATGATCGTCACATTCAAAAACAGAACATGACAAAGCAAAGTTGAGCCTTTGTCAGGGTGCATACTTTGTCAGGGACGCCTGGCATTGAAATTATGAAATGCAAACCTTGAATTTATGAACTTAACTTGTTTAGGATTGACACCAAGTATAACTTTCAGGCCGTTTTGTTGGTAGCCTAAATAGGCTTGTACTCTACATAATAGTGTTAACGAAAATGTATTCGAACATCTTCAGAAATTTTTAGAAACGGACAGATTTTTGCCCGTTTTAGTACATAATTGACGTACCTTAACTCCTGACCTAAGATTTGTCACAATATAGTCGAAATTAATCTTTTAGACTCGAAACCAGACAAGTATTGTGATTTCCATAATACGCTCGTGTCACTTTAATTGTTACATACAGTTGAAGGGGTTCTAGGAATTTAATTCCCTTAAAATTGATCCAGAGCCATGAATTAGACATAACTTTGTGCAGCATTAAAAGATATAGGACTTTTATAAAACAATTGAAATTAATATAATAAAACAAAATAGGGGTGGGGAGGTTGCAACGACAGGTATTTCCGTTTTCCTAAACACCAGCCTCATTAAATAATAATTAAAAAATAATAACGGGTTCTTATATAGCTCTTTTAACTAAGATCAAAACGCTTTACATTATTATTATAACCCCTGATCATTGGCCATTTAAACATTCCAAATACCATCTCAGCTCCCTGGGGAGTATACAGCTCAATGCTGCCTGTTAGGCGCAAGGAAGCTAATTCAATTACAATAATCATCTCTGCCCTCACAGGTACCCATTTACTCCTGGGTGGAGAGAAGCAATGAGTGCCAAAGTGCCTTGCCCAAGGGCACACGCACAATGACCCCAGGCTGGACTCGAACCCACAACTTGCAGCTTTACCCACAGACCACGAATCGAATGACCTTAACCACTAAGCCACAGCACTCCACAGGGCCAAGACCGGATATATTTCGCTTTGACCTTTCAGGGGCAGATCTAGCTTTCAGGAATCGGGGGGCGGGGGTGATATAAAAGTGAGGGGGGGGGTAATTGAAGGAGGCTTACTCCTGTGGAAATCTACGATGCTTTCTCCTGCATTTTTGAAAATAAATTTAGGAACTTAAGCATTTCCCTTTTATTTGTGGCTCAATTTTACTGGTTTCATAACATAAGTCAGCGGCTGAAAGTCTCTGATTCTAGATCCGCTGTCGCTTTTGCTCGATTTTTTGTTTACCTGAGAAGTAAGATATGAGGCTTTGCATGGTGGAGATACTAATGAATGAAAGGTTTGCGGAAATACCATGTGCGAATAATTTCGAGAACTAAGAGAATAAAGTAAACACTTAAGTAGCAATAAGCGAAATCGATGAAGTGTGAAGTTGCATCCTGTGTGGATGCCAAGTAGCTGGGAGCCTAGAGCAAGCTTGGTGTGCACACTGAAGTGGAACAGTAGGGTTGCAGTCTCAGTAGAGGGAGGACCTAGGGTACAGGAGACCCATTTTTGTCTTAGGTGATAGCAGAGGACCCAGGGTATAGGAGACCCATCAGTCTGAGAAGTCACCTGATAAGTTCCCATCCTTGGAAAACGCAATCTGGAATACAAGAGAATGCGGCTAAAACAAATTAATACAATTTCTGTCATTCAGGAAAGATAAAAGTGGCTAAGTCGTCCGGATCCGATGTGGTCCTAGCTTGCCTCCAATCCATCGGCGGGGTCTTCCCGTCTGATCACGGCTTTCTACGCCGCATTGCGTACGTCGAGTCCAAGGATGGTACAGATAGCGGAACTTACCGAGCAGGTTATCACGGGGGCATCTGGCAGGTCGACAAGATCGGCTTTCAGAGTACAAAGGATACTGCAAGCCACCCAGGTTAGAAGTCAATTTCCTTTGAATACAAAGAAAGAATTATAGACTGAACGTTGCCACCCTATAAATCATGATATTATTACCTGTGACGCCACATGATGCTGGTAAATAACCGCCCGGCAACCCAAAAATCATTTTAAGCATCTTTTGCATGTTAATATTTGGCTGAAATTAAATTGTGGGGCAAATAGGGGACATATATGGGGGAGTTGTGCCTTTGATGATACAAGCATGGCATTTGGCACACAGTCGGAGAAAGCTATAAGGCCATCGCAGATTTGTCCTTTGAAAAAAAAATAGGTAGAATAACAAGCAATGGCAGCCATTTTGAGAATTGCTTGTTATTCTACCTACATATTTTCAAAGGACAAATCTGTCGTACTAAAACGGTTGATGTCAAAACCTTTAAACCATTCATATTTCAAGAGTTATGCATGCAGTGCGGAAGAGATCGACAACAATTAGTTGAAAGTTCAAGCATTACGTGACCACAGTCACACCATCCATTTATAAGACCCGTTCTAGATGCCGTGCTACTTCCGCGACGAACTTAGTTGAAATGACTGTGGCAATATAGCTCGGCTACATCACTGCAGTTACTCTAAACGCCGAGGTCGGTCGGTCCGATGGTCTGTCTGACTGTCCCGAAAATTGACCAAAAGTATGGTGTTCCATATGTGCCCTCGGCGTCGCGTTTTTTTCGGCAGAGCTCATTGTGCAGTCGCACTTGTTTTTGTTTTGTTTTTTTCTTCTACGGGTAAAGGCTTATTATATTTTAATGTGATAAATGCTGTGAGTTGATTTTGATCGCCTGCAACACTCTGAATAGGGGCATTGATAGAGCGGCTATACTTCACAAGCCTTGTGGTTGGAGCTGGACAAAGTCATATGGGAGTTGTCCTGGGTCTGATCTTTGCCTCAGAAAGTCTGGGTCGAAAGTTCAACCAGGGTTAAAGGGACACTCACAATGCTTTTTTTTGCTATGTCGCAATAGCGAAAATGCTGGATTATGAAAATATTTGACGAAAGAAATGACCGAGTAATGACCGACAATGTCAGTACTGTCGCACACCACAAAGTTAAAGCGCCTCTTTGGACAAAAAGATAATCTGCCGGAAGTATTTTCAGGCAGCAAATGAATAAGCCTCTCCACTGATGACGACATACTTTGTTTACGTGTGCGCTTTTCTATGGGGCTCCGAAACTGTCGTATCCACCTGGCTCCCATAAGAAAGCACACGTGTAAACAAAGTGTGAGGTCATCAGTACAGAAGCGTATTCGAAAGTTATTAACTGTTGCTCAAATGTACGGTGGCTTTGATTGAACCCTGCCAACTTTCTCCACCCTTCAGGTTTGAAGAAAAAGTTCGAGGCTATTAAGAGTTCCCTGAGCATTGACTGGGCCACCGTGGAGTGGGAGGATCTGGACAAGCCACTCTACTCAGCCATAGCTGCGAGACTCTTCCTGACTAACATCCCCTCAGCTATTCCATCGGGCTTAGCCGAACAAGCGGCTTACTGGAAGAAGCACTACAACAGTAGTAGCGGTGCCGGCTCTGAGAGCAAGTTCATTGATGACGTGAAGGTCTTGGAGAAATAGAAATTGTAGCAGTCTTTACACCGTACAACCTAGTGTTTAACTTAACTTGAACACATTATAAACACTTTTTTGCAACAGTTTATAAACGCTTTGTGAACTGTTAAGCATTGTAAAAACACAAGCGTCTAGTTAAACACGGTGTTTAGTGTTCCTAAACAGAGTTAACTGTTCACGAAGCTTTCCCGATGACGAAAAGAGCATACTTGGAAACGTCGAGTTAAACCAAGTGGTTCTTCTCAGAACCACACAACTCACAAAAAGATATCATTTAATTAGTGTTACCGCAAACCTCTCATTCATTGATCAAGACCATCATGCAAAACGTTAAGTCTCGTTCACGAAGCGTTTATATAAGTTACACACGATGTTAAGTGTTCCTCAACAGAACTGTTCACGAAGCGTTTACAATGTAACCGGAATGTTTGTAATTTGGTTTTCCGAAAGTCAAATTTCAATTCCAAGCAACTGCAAAACTTAAAACGGCTGTTTGAGGCTTTGTTTTTGGTGCATAGATACCCGCATAATGAATCCGACTGAAAACTGAGCTTGGCCTTTTACGGTCTGTCCCCTTAAACGCGTTACAATGTTCATAAACTGTTGCCAAAAAAGCATTTACAGTGCGTTCAAAAGTTAGAATTTACAATTTACAGTGTAGTTTTGAGCGAATAAGGGCGTGTAGTATCTACGCCACTTTTTCTAGGTACATATAGTAAAAAATACCGCGCTTATTTAATCGGTTTAGCAGCTTTGCCTCACATTAAAAATGTGACGATTGTAAAATGTAATATTTGAATGACAGATAGTAAAATGTAAAAGTGCGACACGAACCCGCGATTTGTACCCGTAGCAGCGACCTCTGTCACTAAAACAAATACATGTATGGAATATGGAGGCCGAGATCATCAAATTAAATAACTTGAACCTACTTTTACTTTAACCTTGTTGATCCAGTGTGGTTAAAGTTTCTTTTCAAATTCAAGTCCATGAAAACAAATGTATTGTGATATACTAGTTATTGGTCTTTTTAAGATGTCTATGTTGTTTACTTGCCATAAACAGCGCCTCCCATAGTCAGATAATGTCCAGCCCCTCCACCATAAACTTATAGACTTTTAGATTTCGCGACGGTCGGCTGACAAGAGAAAAACTATCCTGGCTACCTTCCAGCACGGAGAGTGTGCTTGAAACCCCCCCCCCCCCCCGAAAAAAATCCTGCATATACTGCCCCCTCCCTACAGTATACAGTAAAATAATATCTCTTGTTCAGAACAACTGTTGAGCAAGCGAACAAATGCACTAAATTTTCTACTAATTTCTAGAGAAATTTTTTTAATTTGAAGAAGCAAAAGGATATTTGTGTACTTAAAAGGGAAACTGCGAAACTGAGAAATGAAATGACAAATATAAGGAATATATTCAGCGAAATATTTAAAACTTATTTTCGACTGAAAATGAAGCCCTCGAATTGTTATTAAAGATAGAGTATATCATTTGTCTTATGAGCATTGTGTTCGTTTGAAGCAACGAAAGTGCTCAAAATCTAAAGAAGGGTGCTTAACTAACCTGATGAAGGTTTACCTCAGTGAATGCTGCATATTCCGAGAAAACAATATTCTAGGATCTCGATTTCAATTCAAAAGTTGCCGAGTCATGTTTTGAATTGCGCCCGGGCGGGACACGTTTTCATTTAGCTGATTGCATCTATGCGATGTCACGCACTGAACCGACGAATTATAGCAAACGCCGGCGCGCACCCTTTCACTGCTTCGCCGAATTAAAAACCAACCACTAACGGAAATTTAAAAAAAAAAATGCGTCTTTTTAATAGACACATCTTTGAAAATGACCTTCTTTATTGTTTTCTTCAAAATGACAGCATACCAGCAAAAAATATTTTCACCGGGAGTTATGGTGCCATTACTTACAAAGTATGCTTTTCAACACTAATTTTGTCAGTTATGTTTTAGATAGCTTCATATTATACAGTCGAACATCTTTGTAACACGGTCCTTGGGACTTTACAAATTACCTTGTTACTATAACAGGTATCTTGTATTAACAGTAATGGAAAAATAAAGAAAAACAAAGAAAAACAAAGACTTGGGACCTAACATTATCCTTGTTACAGGCAGGATGTTCTCATCAAGGTTCGACTATACTCTACCTTTAAATAAAGCCCTCGAAAAGTCCTACATATATAGAGCGCCCTCTCTGTTGACGGTCGTTGTTTGCCTGTGACATACGCATGACAAGACACTTTTTACTTACATTGCCACTAAATTTACATATAGCAAACCTCTCCTCGATGAGGGCGCCCTGTGCAAGGTTGTTTTTAAAGGTACTAAATTACCTGTGCTCTTGAATGTATATCATCACCATAAACTACATTTTGTTCTAAAAATAGCATCATTCACTTTCACTCTTAGTTGCTATAAAAGGCACATGTGCAGCACTGTATCATGTTACTTCATAACATCAAATCTGTCTAAACAATGTCAGTGTGGCAACATTTCAACTTAAGTGACTCATAACTCTATACACATCATTATAAAAGTTTATGATGGTTTGGTTTCAACTTGAAGGAAGTCGTAAAAATGTGTCATGTTATATCTAGTCTGGTTCCCTGACCTGACAATTCCCCGACCGGGCTAAAAATAGACATGGGGGCCCTTTTTCAAAGCTCGGCTTCGTTTCCGGTTCGTCTTTATCATTGGAAGATTTTAAAGTTCCTATCAAATAAAACAACTTGCTTTATATATCATGAAGTTTGTTATTTCTGTTAGAAATCATTGACTACTGTTGAGCTGGAATCTTCAAAGTTAGGCACCCAAATAGCAGGCAAAGCCGAATAGAGACAACGCCGAGTTTTGGAATACCCCTAGGTAACCGTCGGCAAATTTAAAATAGTACACTGACGCAGCAAAGCTCGCCCCTCGTACGATCCGAGTGCGCACAGTCGTTGAATTTCAAGTTTGTTTTGTTTTAATGCAACTCATTTTTTAAATTTTTAATAAGCATGGCAGGTAAATAAAACCTATTTTATACCCGGAAATACCCCGGCGCCTATCCCACAGTGCCGACGAAATGCATTCGGCAAACTTCGGACATTTTCGGAAACGGGAGGCATTCCTCCCATTTTGGTCACGTGCCGTGGCGGTTACCTGACCTCAGATTTATCAGAAATAGTCAGAATCTTTTGATTTGGGAACCAGACTACATGTTATCCAGACAAGTACTGAGTTTGACTCGTGAATATTCATATCCGCTGACGTCATCAAGAAACTCACGGCTGTTGGCCCTTAAAATGAGGAGCACTCTTCGTCATTTTAAACTTTGCAGGTCCGTCTGCATCATCACAGTCATTTTCAGTCACTGCAATTTTTTCCGTAATATTTTCCCCTGTAGACCTATCTTTGGAACAAAATACGCATTGCGCCGCCACCGGCAGTGAAAAAAGTTCCTAAGTCTTTCCATTTTGGGGGGTATCTTTTTCCCAGCAAAACTGCATAGTGTGAATTTTGCAAACCTTGGCTACTCAAAAAAAATTATTAAAAAAAAATGGTTCTGACATGCTTTTTTAATCCTATCCGACTCAAGGCGTCGATTACTCAAAAACCAGATTTTGTGGGACATTCCTCATTTTGCCAGAGTAGGTAACATATAAAAATATGCCCCACGGGCCTACATGTAATTTCAAAGTTCACAATTTACTGCAGTTTGCAAGCAAAATAGGGGTTTCATTGAAGGGCGTAACAATGTCATCAGTACATTGCCCATCCAACTACTCCATCAGTACCGTTTATTTGCATAACGAACTTTGTTTATAATAATAGCTGCTCGTTCGATCTAAAAATAGATTATATTGCGCATGCTCGATGCAAGAAAACGCGGCTTGGTCTCTTCAGGAATTCAGTATTGTTCTCTCCCTCACTCAGTTATCAACTATTATGTTGTGGAAACTTTTCACAGGTTATATTCTGTACCACCCATATCTTTACTTGAGCAGTTAGGTTTGTTTTCTTCAATTTATTGAAAAGGTCCCAACAGGGAAAGGTACAAAAACAGTGCTTCACCTTTTCCCTTTATGCTGACATCATTTAATATTTACACTTAATTACATACTGTCTGTGAAGAATGTTTTGTTTATACATATTTTTTTTTCTGTATGACTTGTCACTAAAGATGTCAATGTGAAATAAATGTCGAATTGAATTGATTTGATTTGAAGGTGCGTTTTGGAGTTATGTTCCTATGTGTCTTTTAAACCGAGAGCCGATTTCTGTTGATAGTACAGTTGAATGTGGATTGATTTCTACAGCATCATTGTATTTACATAATTTGACGTTTTGTTGTCAGGTCAAACGAAAAGAGCATAATGAATATTGAGCTGTTAAATTGCCCAACGGCTTTCTTTATGATAATACTCCCTGCGTTCAAGGTCTGGCCACCTGTATCTTAGAAATGATTCAGTGCTCTGGATGTGTACGTGTGGTGCACGATCTGCGCTAGATGAGAAAGCTTCGCTGATGAATGTTTCATGCGTGTGGCTATGGATCAGAGCTTTTGCTGATCGCACTGCGCATGCCCGCTACGTGATATCGAGATCTAGCCTGCTACTAAACATTCGCCGCGTTGTGTTGCACGAGAAGCGAGTCCGCGTAACAATCCCCTCACATCTGTTCGAGTTTTCCAGTGCCAGAATGTCCGAAACGGAGGCAAAACCCCAAACAGAGGAGCAGAAGGAAGGCGAGGCCCCTGCCGAGGCCGGAGAGGAACAGAAGGAGGAGCCGACGGAAGGTACGGGGGAGACCGGAGCGGAGGGGGAGACGGCGAAGGATGAGGGTGGGGCCGATGAGCAGGCAGTGAGTCCTGAAACCGAGGAGGCTAAACCCGCCGCAACTCAGGATGCAGCTCCGCCGATCCTCGAAGCCCCCCAAGAAAACCCTTTCTCTGAGGACGATCTGGAGCAAGTCCTGCAACTCGAGGCCAGCGAGGGGGAGGACAAAGGATGGGAGAAATCCAAGAAGATCAAAGGGGTGACAGTCTTCAAGAAACCGGAGAAAAACGGCGTGCCTTTAATCAAGGTAGGACAGAATTCAAGTTGGAATGAGATGAGCGCATGTAGGCTACCCCACCCACTTGTGAGACTGATAATGGATGCAGACGTGCCGTGACCTTTGAACCTGCTAACGGCGCAACAGTCATTCCTTTTTGGCATATTCTAATTTCTGAGTCAGTTGAATGGCGATATTGGTTTTTGCTGCTTGCAAGCTTGGCGCATTATGCGAGACGGCGCTGCAAAATTATGCGGTTAGCCGGGCAATGAATATCACCCGTCCTGTTCTGGCATTGCGCCTTGACGCGTGCCGCCACGCGTATGCCGTGCCCAATACTCCATGGCGTCCCTGCACACACTCAGCGAAATAAATATCGGTAGCCTACAGGAGATATTATAATTGAACTCAATTCCCACAATAATCTCTCAGATCAATCATGCATTACCCACTCAGTCGGGATCCACTAGAAATGCATGCACGTATAGCACACGGCACCACCGTTTATTTTTCCTAGCCATTGCGAAATAATAAACGCCTGTCATGCACTTGTGTGTTTACAGTTCTATAGCCATTTTTTTTCTCGCTGCTGGGTCTATAGAGACCAAGGTAGTCTGTAATATATTTTTTTCCCATCGATCGTGTGACCTCTTTATGGAATAGCACTCGGTAGCTAAAGACATGTTCTGCACGTAGTCTATACTGCGGTACATTATTCATGATAACCACAGGTTATCATATCAACGGTAGTAGCCTACATCAACTATTAGTTGAAAATACAGCCCCTGTTCTGTGCATAATATTTCACATGATCGCATGCGCGTGACCGACTGAACCATGTGTTAGCTAGGGGTTATAACCTTAATTACTTTTTGTCACAGTCACGTGAAGAAAATATACATTTCACTCAATAACAACATGAGCGAATTCACAGACCTCCGCAAAATCGAGCTAGATATTTCAGTAAATATTCTTGCATTTTTACAATAGACAGTTGCAATAATTATATAGAACAGAAAACTGTCCCTTTTTCTGTCTGATTATAATCTGCCTTTTCATGTTATCCCATGTCATCAGTGTAATGTTTCTGAGTTGATGTACTGTTTTTCTGTGCATATTTTAATTTTCCATTTAACGTTCAGTTTTATGTGAATTTTCATCTGAGTTTTTTTTACTTTTATTTTACTTGGGTTTTCTTTCCTTAATTTGTAGATTTTACTTTGTTTAGAGTTCATTCTATGCTTCATATAATATTATTGTATTTTTTTTTCGTAAATGGTTGATTAACTTGTTGTCGCATTTTATTCATTACCTTTTTTGATGAATTTTCTTTTCCAATCTTACATCTCTTCGTGTCACGAATCACCGATGTTCAATTTGATTACTTCAATTGATTTGCTCCGTTGAATTTGGAAATTATTTCCATCTTCATTTTTTTTTTTGTCAAAGAGGGCAGTACTTGTATACACTTGCAGTTAAGTCCTTAGTTACAATTTGTTTTCAAAGTTGAACAAATAAGTTATTGAATGGTGCGGGTTTGAACCTCCAACCTCCGGATTGCCGTTCCAGTGCTCTTACCAGTTACCAACTGAGCTATCCAGCCCTATGTTTGGGCTCCCCAACTTGTCAATTATTATCATTGTTCAAGGGGTGCTAGTCAGAAGCCATAAACCGTATACATCTAAGTGAAAAAACCCGAAACCCAAATGTCGGGACCATTGTTTTAATGAAGTTCTGCATGTAGCACTTTCAAATTCTAGGATATAAAACCATAAGCTTTCTTTTAGTCATGTTAGTACAAGAATCATTCAAATCACTCATGTGCTTTTCAAGTTACGGAATTTTAAACGCAAAACCTGTTTTAAGGTTCTGTCCACGGATCACAAAAAATTCAGTGTTCTTTCAGCAAAACGAAAACAAATCCCTTTAGGGAGTGTGTCAATTGTTTTCGTTTTGCTGAAAGAACGCACACCTTGTTTGTGATCCGTGGACAGAACTTTAAAACGGTGGTTGTGTTTAAAATTCCGTAACTTGAAAAGTACTGGACTGTTTTGAACGATTTTTGTACTCGCAGAAAGCTTATGAATTGGGACTTCATGTCCTAGATTTTGAAAGTGCTACATGCAGAGCTTCAATAAAACAAATAGTCCCGACATTTGGGGTTGTTTTTTTTGGACACACCCTGTATGCCACAATATAGCCAGGCATCACGCCAAAAATCACGATGCTATATAGCAACACTATGCTGCAAACCTGGGAAATAGCAAACGGGATCACTCAAAGAGGATACAGCTTCTTATTACACATTTTCAAACTGAACCTCAGAGGAAAACTGATTAGGTGCATTTTTTTTTTCAAAGTCAAACAAACAAGTTGACTGGAGCGTGGTTTGAACCTGCGACCTCCGGTTTAGTGTTCCGGTGATTCCGGTAGAGCTCCGAAACGGCAATCCGGAACTCGCAGGTTCCAAGTAAAGTTATCATTTTAGCATATTTTGCAGGTTATTTGTATATTACCATATAAAATTCAACCGCATTGCTTTAGACACCGTAAATCTATACTCTACTGCGATATTAAATAACTTTCCATCAAAACCATAAAAATTAGAAAAAGACTGTTTTACATAAAGTTCTATATGATATTTCTTCCACAACAAATCAGATTTTAACATCATAGCCAAGCACAACAATGTTTCAAAGAAATTCAAGGTATAAGTTATAACTGTATATTAGTAAAACTAATCAAACTTTTGTTTGTTTTTTTAAGAGAGGTTTCATGTTTCGAGAGATGGTTTAATACCGGTGTTGAGTGAAATTTGGACTCTGAAATACAGACTCTTTGGTTGTATTGCGCATGCCCAAGTGAAGATAATTCATACACTAACCGGTCACGTGAGAGGGTTGTACATGAGACAGATTTCACATCGGGAGTCTAAATTTAATATGACACCGGAAAAGCCGTTTTGAGCAACTATTTTAGCCATTAATTTCTTCAGCAGTATTCATAGATGGGGCCGGTGTCATATGAAAATCGGACTCGTATGAAAATCGGACTCTTTTTCCCTTTTATTGGTTAAACCCTCTCACGTGACCGGTCCCTCTCCTAATTATCTATGCATGAGCATGCGCAATACCACCAATGAGTCCGTATTTCATAAAACCTAAATTCATGCTACACCGGATCCCACAAGATGAGTCAGATGTTAGTTTTTCACATGCATGTAGAGAGCGCATAATTTGCTGTCAATATTAATATATCAGCTTGATACCTAAAATTTGTTCAGATATTATGTGACTGAAAAGGTGTATCGTATAGCTCTTGCTTTCTTCGATTGTACAAGATTCCATTCAAAAAGCCTTTTTCTTAAAATAACTCTACCGACTTGTGCCTCATTTTGTTGGGTTCGGCCACAAATTCTTTTGCAGTTTACACAATCACTTCTCAATATAGCACGCATTCGTCAGATTTTCAATATGGGGTTTTACCCGTTTGCCGAGGTATTTATTTTATAAACACTGCACACATGTGTTCGGGTTTTGTTTGCGTAGCAGATTGAATCAGACCACAACGTACTAGTGGTAGACTGTGGCCTAGTGGCTAGGGCTATCGTGTGTTGTGTCCTTGGGCAAGCCACTTCACTCCCACTTGTCTCTCTCCAGCCAGGAGTATAAATGGCTACCAGCATTAGCTGGGAGTAGCCTGCGACATGGACTGGCATTCCATTCAGGGGGGAAAAAAATATTCTCAGTCGTTTCATGCCAAGGAAACCAGAGATAAACGCCGGCCTGATGGGCCGTATTGGCTTGTGACAGACTTTACTTTTTTACATCGTAATATCTGTCAATTTATTTAATCGCTGACGATCGTTCATTACTTCTGTACAGTATGTCATATCCCTTTATGTAATGAAATAATTTGTTTCCAACTTCATTATGACAGCATTGTTCTTCAGTCATTCCATTCTGTGCAGCGATTAGTAATGTTCGACCCGGAAGGAAACGATTATCGATTAACGTTAGTCGATAAACAAAACATTTACGCATCGAGCAGATGGCAGAATCGATCAAATAAACCACATTTCTAAACAGGCTATCATTGTGCATGCGCTTATCTACACAGGAATGGTACATTATTCATTCCAAGGGAATATGTTAATGTTCAACAGAAAATCTCTCTTTTTTTTACAACAAATTGCTGCTATTTTTTATTTGAATGTGCAGTCTGCTACAAAATGTATGGATTCGTTATTACTGGTGTTTGAAATTGAAAGTTAGCAAATAGGCTTATAGTTACATTTCTGCACACCCGAACGTCGTAATGCATGAGGAAAATATATCAAAGCGACTGTTTTATTCTCTCTATTTTTGTCTTGCGTTTTATGCCTTGAAGCATTCGATACGCGATCTCTTACTTATTTATTCATTCTAAATAATCATTCTAAAAGGGATGTTCAACAGAAAATCTATCTCCTTTTTTTTTAACAACTTGCTGATAATTTTCATTACAATATGCCAGTCTGCTACAAATATATAGCTTCTTCTTTTTTCTTCTTTTCATTTTCACTGATGATTAAATGGAAAGTTATAAATAGCCTTATAGTTACATTTCGGCATACGGAACTTCGCAGTGCATTCGGATAATATATCAAAGCGACTGTTTTGTTCTCCCTATTTTTTGTCTTGCGTTTTATTCCTTGGAGTTTTCGATACGTGATCTCTTATGTCTCTTTGTTTTTAAATTTATTCTAGGTATAAGACAGACAACCTCACACAAACGATACACAACCGAGTATACCTCAAAATTATTTTTCAAAAGAAAATAGGGCCAGAAAAAAAAAATGTATTTGGAGGTCGACTTGTCTCACTGAGCTCGCAACAACTATAACCACGGCCTTTCACCATGCATATAGGGAAGTTTATTTTTCACAATTTTCAGATGAAATGAAAGTGCGATGGAAAAAAAGAAAGCCAATGACCCGTATGCGAAAATTCCACACGGCTTACAACTCGTTTTAATTAATTTTCCTGCCG